ATGTGGTGCCTAAATAATTAGTTATGTGAAGATTTTTGTGCTTCAGGAACTGAGGTTTCATTGCTCTTGAATAGGTTACAGATAACAATCTCTCGTCTGTAGGCAGCTGTACAGATTTTGATATATATTTATGTACAGTCACATTTCTATGTGGTTTTTTCAGGAATGGGACTTTTCAGGCTGTGAACTTGTATAAACAGAACTATTGCCTGCTTCCAATTCCTCCCTCTCCCCTAAAATGACAGGTTCAATTCTGAGTTACTTATTTTCTACTCAGTAAAATGGGAGTCGTGGGCTTAATTTGTCAGTCCATGGGTTCTTCATTGCTGTTCTGATGGAGAAGAAAAGAGATAATTGTATGTGTAGGCTCAGACATTTGCCTTTGTGTATTCTTTATCTCAGCCTCTTTAGAGATTGAGACCATTATCTGCTGCTTGAGATCTTGCTTTAAAATGTACTCAGCCACGAGTAGTAATGCACATCATTTTTGCACAAAGTGATGTTACAGTGGAATTAATATAAGAAGTCTAAAGATGATTGTTCCTTGTGTAATGGCATATATAGGAGGAGATGGCAGCTGACGCCTTAATATTTGTGCTTGAAGAATCTAGCTAAGGATTTAGATTTGCTGGATAATGAACTTCTCTGTGCCCTATAATTCAGGAATAGAATTTGTATTTTTAACTCTTGGCCTTTCAGACGCTCTGACCTGCTTTCTGCATCTCCACTGCCTGCCTGATTTGAGAGCTCTTGGCTTCTGGCGAGGGGAGTGGGGAGGATGCAGCTGTCCCCGCTGGAGCCGTGGTGGGCGGGCAGTGCTGGAGGCGAGGCTGCTCCTGCTCGCCTCGGAAGTAGGTCAGGAGTGCCCGCTTGTTTTAACAGCATCGTGAGCCTGTGCCTGCATTTGCATGTGTTGCATTTCTGTCTGCATATAAAGAATAGTTCTTGCATCACATATTGCTGCACGTAGAGGATTTTGAGATTTTTATTTGTTAACATGCACATTTCCTTGAGGGATTATAAAACCGTGACAGATACAATTAAAGCAAAAACCACTTTTGTTTTGTTTGGCTAGTTAAATTTATATACTTGTTTTTTGCCTATCAGGCTGCAGTGAATCTGTAAGTGTTGTGAAATACATATTTAGTAGAGATTATGAAAACTTCAAACCTTTATTACTACTGCTGTAGTTCACAACAGAGCAAGTGGGTGGTTGCTTCCCAGTGGAGTGTTTCACGCCAAGAGACAGTCTGTATTGACCTTGTACTGCCAAGTCATAAATGCATAAAATCTGCGCTGCTCATGGAAATACTGACAAGCCTTGAACTGCAATTGGACTGGCAGAATAAAAATATTCAAATTTCCAGCTGCAGTTAATGTCATATTTCCATTTTGGTTTTGCTGGCATTGGCCTCACCTCGGAACAAGATGAAGTGTCCTGGAGCTTTTTGTTGGTATTGTCATAACACAGACTCTCTCTGATAATTTGTGTAAACAAGGCTGACTGCCTTGTGAAACCCATGGACAGGAGTCTTGGGCATGTTCAGGTTGGGCATTGTGGTACCTCAGAGGTGGGACCTGTAGGCAGTGTCATTTTCCAACACTGAAGTTCAAGCAAGCTGTTTGGAAGAGATGTAAGAATTTCAAACTCCCATTAATGTTTTTAAGAGGGCATGAATTAATGTTTACATCAATAACTGTCAGTTTTGAGAGATCTTTGTGTAGAAATTACTTCCTTTGTGAAAGGAGTCATGAGGATGATACCCAGGATGAAGATGCTGGCAGGGGTGATGGGTGTGTATGTCAGAGGATCCTGATGTGTGCTTTTGAAAATGAATCTCAGAGCACTTCCCTGCTGGTAGAAGACTGATGTGAACTACAGGGTTGTGGTGTAGTGGACCTCATGCAGGTGTGGAGACCAGGTATTCCTGAATTTGTTTCAGTTTGGTTTAATTTTAATATGGTTTATTATGCCCCAAGGAAGGATAATTAATGTCGCAGTTCTTCTCTAACAACGAGAACAAAAAAATATTCTTGCTTTACAAGAGTGTCACGAAGGGTAGAGGGTTAAATATGAAAAAACCAGTTCCTGGCCCATTTAGTCATTGCTTGCTGACACCTTCTGTAGTTCTTTGTCAAAACTAGATTTATGCCTGGCTGCTGTGGCAGAACTCTCTTGTGTGGTTGTTTTTTCTCTCCTTGCTGCAAACAGCTCCATGTGATGCTCCAGTGCTGTTTTCTGATACACAAAGTAAAACGTCACAGCTGACTCTGATTCAAACCTGGCTGGTACCAGTCCCATACTCACGTCTGCTCCTTGTAAATCTGACAGATTTGCAGTCTCTGCTCCTGTTTTTATCACAGTCACCTTGAACTTCTCCTTACATCCTCTTTGCTTTGTGTGTCTTGGATTAGGCTGATTTCTCTTAATTGTGTATTGAAGTGTTCCCAGCTTTCCTATCCTGGCTGTGGTAGGAAGGTACAGAGAGTACCTTGTGCTGCCGGGCTCTCCCACTGTCTGGTTGTTCTTTTTGATGTCTGCTGAGGAAATTCTTCATCAGTAAATCATCAGCCTTTGAATCAGGCAACAAGATTTTCTGTGTGTAATGACTATACACAGAATTATTTTAGATCCTTTTTTTAATGTAATTACACTGTACTTCCTGTTAAAATTTGCCATTGTCTTGTGTTAGACCCACAGTATTTTCTACCTGTCACTACTTCAGGTGGACACTCAAGCATGGCAAGAAAGTTGCTCAAGCATTCCTCTTTTTGGTTTTGGGTCTTTGGTCTTTTGTAGTGGGCACTGCTTTTGTCTGAAATAATTTCCTTTTATTTATAACCTATCCATTATTTTCCTGCCCTTGATGCTGGACTTAAAAGCATATTGTCTGTGTAATTCAAATTACTGATTAAGGTGGTGCTTATCTCACAATATTTTCTAGCATTTGGAACCGGTGTGTCTGTTGATTTTTGTTCTTTTTTCATCTAATAAATTAATTTTAGAAAAAAAGTCATGTTTTGACCAAAGTTCCTGTGTGGAGCTTGCCCACTTCCTTTTTGCATCTCTGTGCTTTTTACAAAGCAACTGAAGCAGCTGCTTCTGAAGTCTTTTGCAAAGTGCTGACCTCGGGAAGGAGCCTGGAGCTGACTCCTCACTCGAAGGTGTTAAAATTGAGAAACCTGGGGAAGTACTAGTTCCTGGTGCAGCTTGGAGATTTCAGAGCCTGTATAAATTGCATAGCAAAAAGAAAAAAAAATTATAGATCCAGGGACAGGCAGAAGCACTCTAGGCAGATTTTCAAGTACCAGTATGTTTTTAAGATGAGCAGAATGGCCTTGTCAGCAAGGCAGCTAGAAAGGCATTTTGGAGGTGACAAACTTTTCAGCTGTAGCCAAATTTAATTGCTTGTGGTTTTATCAGACTTCTAAGTAATGGGCCAAAAACCAGCTGTAAAGACAGAGTAAACTGTTTTCTAAAAAGCCTTTTTTATGTAATGTAGATGAGTGGGAGGAAAAATCCTGCTGTCTGTAGTCTTACTCTGTTCTTTTGAGAAATTGAAAGATGCTTTGGTCTCTTTAACTTGGGGTTCATAGTATGTTTGAAAGCATCAGTGGGTGTTCAGACCTGCTGAGTTTTCCAGCTGGACAGCTACAAGTAAGAAAGCTGGGCTGTGATAGTCCAAAAAGCACCAGACAGACAGGTCCTGGGGAATATGTTTCTCATATTTTTGGCATTTCATCAATGTATGGGCTTTGTTGTCTTGAAGCTCATGTTCAAGAGTTCACATGACAAGAGTAAGTGTATATCTATGCCTTGCCAATTCTGTTTTCAAGTATTAAATAATTTATTGCAGCTACAGCTGCAATAACTCCTGGAGTTGTTAACCAGTGGCTACTGATGGTGGATACAAGAATTGTTGTGAAGTGGATCACAAAAAGCTGCAAGTACTTTGTGGGTGTTTGCATCCCCAGGGGTGCTGTGGAGCAGACAGGACCATGGGTTAGGATAGGGATTCAACAGCTCCAGCTGCAGGCACAGGAGGGAGGGGAGGTGATCCATCTCCCTGATGGAACCCTTATGGGTGCTCTGGGAACATGGGAGGATCTGAGCTGCAGGAGCTCTTAAGAGCATCTGGGATTTTGGCTGCTGAAAGCTGTGTTCTGCAATAGATGGGCCATTGATCCGACTTAATGGGTTTGTTCTTGTGCAAAGTGATGATTTCCTTCTTTCAGAGTATCTGTTCTCCAGTGGAATCCCATTAAATGAGCTGATGCAGTAGAGTGACTGTTGCTGCTTGGCCTTTTTGTCACGAACTGGTGCTTTCATGTTTATAGGCTTTTCAGTCTTGTTTGGCACAATCAATTTCAGTGCTACCATTCTAATTTAGAAAGATTAGGAGAGTGGGAAACATTAACCAGACAAATGGTATCTCTTTTATTTTCCTCTTAGATCTTCCCCCTCACTTGCTCCCACTGTTTCTTGGAGCTCACTTTCTTTTCTGCTCACACCTTTCAGCAGTGCAATTGCATCTCTGGTCTGTAAACACCTTGGAGCTTTCTGGGGTAGAGATGATCACCTAATACAGCTTTATGTATGACAATATTGAATGGTCTCTCATTCAAGTAATATTTATATTCTTAAAAATGTTTTCAAATATGAGCTGTTTCATAAAAGTTGTAATATGGGACTTCTGGATTCAAAGCTCCTTTTCTGAGATTTAGAGTAGATGGTTGAAATACTGCCCCTTTTTCTGAATTTTGTCAGCACATTACCTGTTTACTAACACAATTGTATGAAAAGTATAATGTGTCGTTATATCCCAAAGGGTAAGTACCTGAAATGTGTCAGTCTAAGGTGCACCTGTTTAAAACCACTGACCTCTTGGGTGATTTAAGTGGCCTCTGAGTCTTTCAATCTCTTGTTTCAGGAAGTTAAGAAGGATGTAGAGCCCAAGGATGATGCTGTGCCACTCAGGAGGGAGAAATCTGGCAATGTAGCCAGCCTTGTGCAGCGAATGAGCAGCTATGGGCTTCCAGCAGGAGGATTTCAGCCTCATCCCCCGTCCAAAGGCTTCAAGAAGAGTACGTGGTCTCTCCAATTCCTTCAGTTGTGCATGCTGCTGACGTGCATTTTAAAAATAAACATGAATTATTTAATGTGTGACTTAGTTTTAAGGTTACGTGGAAAACTAGTAACATAGGAAGAAAAACTCATTCAAAGACAGATTATGCTCCTGTATGTATGGGCAGAAAGCTCAAATATAGCTTTTAACACCAGTAATAGGGATGAATTTTCCTGTGAACAGGATTTAGACTCCTTCCAGATGTCAGAGGGCTTTGTAACTTCATGTGAGCTCTGTTTGTGTTATCAGGTACGTGAATGGAGAGCTGCAGGCCTGTTCATGATAATAAAAAATTTTCCTGTGGTCATTTTAAAAGAAAAGTTGAAATATGAAAATAGCAAGTTTTGCAACAAATTCAAGGCTTTGACAAGAAAGGGCTGTATAGTTCAGATTCTTCCTGATAGGCTTGCTTCTGGTGTGAAATAAGGTGCAGTTTGTGGTATTAAAAAAAAATAGTAGTTTTCCTTTTGTTCTAATAAACAGGATGGCAGGACTCTAGCACTGGTGCTTCTGTATTTGTGATTTCTTTGTTATAATGCCAGTTTTTATATCAAGGTGACTAAAGGCTAGAGAAGAAAGCTTACCATTCCCTGCATCCAGCAAATGGGCTTGTGATTTGTATTTGGTCATACCAATCTCTTGTAAGATATTCCTTTAAATTACTGTGGCTTCCTCTGTCTGAAAAGGTTTTGAAGGCATTTATTATTTAAGCTTGCTTTTAAAAAAAGTTGAGAACTTAATGGTTCTGGCATGTTGATGCTTTGGGGTTTTGCTTATATTCCACTAGTTGTTGTTTAAAACCCTGATACAGGACCACCACCACCTTTACAATTTTTTTGAGACTTTGTTCCAGGAAACTAAGGATTTAAAATCACTTTTTAGTGAGACTGATCTGTGTTTGCATGTTGGCAAAAGTGTGTAGGTGCCTGTTGGGTGTTTGCACAGCAGACTTTGGAAAAACCCAACCTGAAAGATTAATGCTGGTCCTAGATAAATACAGCCAGGCTCTGAAAGGGAAACAATGTGATCTTATGGGTACTTCCACCTGGAGATACTGTAGGATTCTGTGAACCTGATCTCATACCAATTCAGCTGTCAGCTATTGTTCTGGTCACCCTAACCCTGGAATGTTTCCATATTTTCCATGTCACATCCTCATGCTGGTGGCTCTGGCCAGGGTAGAAGGTACAGCTTGGTCTCTTTGCAGGGCTCTGGCTGCTCTCATCCTTCTGGAGAAAATGGTGTTCAAGCACTTCCCTTTAGGCACACAGCTGTGCACCTGCTGCAGTGACAGTCTCTGCATTTCCATTTCACTTGCTGTTCCCTTTTTCCTGGAAGACTGTTTGAACAGCTCCTGCAGATCCTGTTTGCTATGTGCCTGGGCAATCACTTGCTTTCTAGAGCTAAGTTGGCTTTGTGTTTCTGGTTTTTCACTTGCTGAAATGAGGTTTACAATGTTAAAAACAGAGTTAAGTTTCTTTCATGCAGCTCTCCCTGAATTCAGGTATTTTTGTGTCAGGTGGGTGGTAAGCTGCAGGCAGAATTCCTATCAGTTAGATGTCTGCGTGTGTTTAGCAGAAAGAAAATACAGAAGTTGTGCTAAGTAACAGCAACAAAGAGCTAAATTTGGTTTACCCTATACAAAACAAACAAAACCTGAAGCCAGACAAGTTGTTTTGGGAAGGGACAGAATTGCCTGCAGGCTGCCAGCCCAGCAGTCCTGCAGCAGCACGTTAAGCTGGAGTTCTGTTCTCTGAGAGGACAGGTTCCCTCCCTAGGTTATTCTAGGGATTTTCAAAAGTGGGAGGCAGTACTTCCTAAATTGTGTCACTGGAAACAGACCTCAGAGGAGAGGGAGGTTTCTGGATGTGAAATGCATCCATGGGCTCCCTCCCACTCCCATTTAGATATAATTACACTATGAAAAGGAACACTGAGATCAGATTTATGCCAAATGGCAGTGACTTTTAAATTTGCCTTTTTTTGGTATCAGTTAATCTCCTACCAAACAGAAGCCTTGAAAGCACTGCAGGAGGCAGTAAAGACTATTGAACCATTTATTGCAATTACTCTGAACTGAGCAATCCCTCTGGGCTCGTGCAGGAGTTCCAGTGGAGGTAAAAGCAGGGTATATTATGTGGGCAATTATGTGTTACTAGAAATAACCCATGAAGCTTCATATTTCTGGTTTATTTGTTTCTTGCTTAGATCATATACCAGCATGTAGAAAATTCTTGATTTGGTGAGCCTCTCTCAGAAATTTTAGATGCTTGATGCCTGGCCTGTTTTGTACAGAGAATGCTGGGTGTGGTTTTCTAAATGCCTTGCTCTGGACTTTAAACAGTGCTATAAAAAGACAAGGATCAATCTTGGAGGCAGTGTCTGTGTTTTGAAATGTTTTTACACAGCTAATCTTAATTGCTGAAGCTTGAGTGTGGAAGGAGTACAAAGTATAAGAGAGAGAGCATGGAAATCACACAGCTCCTGTAAGCTAAGTCTTTACCACTTCAAACTTTTGATTGATATTTTCATTTAAACTGTGGCAGATTGTTTTTGAGGAGGATAGCGAGCATGCATGGGTCATAGCTCAAGATGATAATTGTCTTCAGAAGCATGCTGGCTGCTCTGTTGTGGAAAAGGTCTGAAGGCATGGCCTCTTGTTTGAAGGAGAAGTGCATAAACTGTCTGCGTTCAGCAGGAGCAGCGCTCCAGGATATTTGCAGAGTAATTAGGCAGTGTGGGTTCACACCACTGTGGCTGCAGGTCTTGAGTTCTCAGAAGCCACTTCAATGCTCTCCCCTCTCAGGATGTCATTTTGCCTTTTTAACGTCTGCAGTGCTTTAATAGTATGGGGCAAACAGCTAAAAACTGCACTTGATTTTAATCTTGCCTTTGTCAAAGACTGCTAATGGACAGTTTCAATTATTGGGTGCCATACTGGCACTGAGCAAAGGTAGGGTTTTTTTTAATTCACAGATAAAAATGAGTTCATATTTTGAAATATGAGCCCAGCAAATGTTGGCATGACTGCACAGCTGTGGTTAGCAAGGTCCTTGTTAGAGGCCAGAAGGTCTGTGAGCTCTCCAGTGTGGTGCATAACAAAAGTTGTTCCTGCTTTCAGGATTACTTAAGGACTGGAAGCTCAAACTTGTACCTTTTCTTCAAAGTAGATACTAACTGGCAGTGATTGCCATTCCTGCAAATTTTGGTTGGGAAATAGCTTGAGAAATCACTGTAGTGGGGATTTACCTGACTTGCCTGTGTCAACATGCTTTTTATAGCAGGTTGGTAATTGGTATAGTGTTCGTTTATCAGAACCATGGCTCCCTAGCCTAAGGTGACCCAAGCAAACCACAAAATCAGGATCAAAAGCTACATAGCTTTTTGGAATGGTTTCTGGGTCTTCAGGAGCAGGGTGTAGGAGGGATGGTTCTCCTTTATGAGTGTTCTTACTTCTGGTGTTTCTCTTGGATCAGGGTCCAAGAAGCGGCAGTGCAAAGTGCTCTTCGACTACGTCCCGCAGAATGAGGATGAGCTGGAGCTCAAGCTGGGGGATGTGATTGACATCGTTGATGAGGTAAGCTGTTCTACAGAGCTGGCCATTCATGTGCTGAGAGTCAAACCACTTTTTTGGCTGATTATTTGTATTACATGCTTGTTGGGAAGATAGCATGGGAAGTAGTGATTTTGCTGCTAAAATTAATAATTCTGGAGTTTTTCTCTCATGATCTAATACTAAAACTATGTATGCTAGATGTTTAGAAGAAATATTTTATCATCACAGTAATAAACTGTGATCTATTACACAGATTCATTGTTTGAAAGGGTTTAGCAGTTCTTTGGCCCTGTCTGTGTGATCCCTGGCTTTAGGATGCTTTGTGGTAAAACTGTTGGACCAGTTTCTTTAGGCAGACATACTCCAAATTGGTACAGGTGAAAAATGTTATTTGACTTGATTTGCCAGTTTCAAGTTCTCTTGCAGACCCATTGAATTGGAGTGGTGGTTTCTTATCTTTTTTTATCCATGTGCTTCCTTGGTGGCTGTTCCATTCAATAGCAGTGGTGGGAAGTTTGTATGTGTCAGAGGAGTGTCTCTTCCAAATGTGAAATCTTTCAGGGAAGCTGTGGAAAAGATCAGAGTGATTGTGGAAGGAACATTTTTAGAACTCAGAGGAAAACTTCTGCACAGCAGGCTCTGACCTTCCTTGGTGCCATCTCTTCCTCCCTGAAGCTCTGAGGAGGGAGAGTGAAGTTTTCTTTCTAGCCATGTGCTATTGGTGATGCTTTTTAAGTAGCTTTATGAGACTGTTTTTTATGTGCATGACCCTCTTTGGAAGAGAGTGCTAACCTGACAGTTGCCAGGAAGGACTCTTCCATTTTCCTAGCAAGGAAAAAGCTATGTCCTTTGATGCATTTGTACTAATACTTCCAGAATTTAATATTTGAGAGTAAACAGAGCAAGTGACTTGCTAAACCTGCTCACCGAACTCGCAGTTTCATAAATGCCTTTGTGTGCGGGTGTTTTTGAGGAATGTTCCTGGGTAACCTCAGCACTTTAATTTGTGGATGGTGCCTGCACTGGCAGTTGTGACTGGATGGTCCAGTGTAAGCATTCATGAGAGAGCACATGTAGTGAACTATTGTGGAAACAACACTTTTGCTTGCATGTGTTGGCATCTGGAATTATTTTCAGAGGGGAGTGTGCTGTCATGTATCAGAGATGGCCAAGTAGCCATCTGGTTTCTTAAGGAAGTGTGGATTATATTTTATTATTTAGATTTTTTTCTGTTAGTTGCCATGCTTATTCCTTTTTTAATAATTTGAAAATACGTTTTTGTAGTACCCAGTCTTTGCTACTTCTTCAACAAATTTTTAGGGAAATGCTACCTGATAGAAAAATAGTATGGTCACAGAACTGTTTGCACACTGTTTTCATGGTGATGTAGAAAAGACCTGACAGGTGTAGACTGTGTCTGTCTGCTTCATGAAACTGTACTGATGGGACCAGAAATGTAAAGAATGGTAGAAAATACTGTCCATGGGTTGTGCAATATGCTGGGATAACTTGTCTTAGGTAATTTGTCCTCAGTACTGTGAGATAGTTTGCTTCTTTGTGTTTATATGTAAAAGGTGCTGTTTCTGTGCATGCAGATGACTTGTAACTTTTACTTCAAGGAAAAATTGTTTGGTCACCTTTTTCTGTGGGGAAAATAAGGTAAAATCAGCTCTGTGAGGGGGATCGGCTCTATCAGTTCCTTGAGAATAATTCAGTGTTTAGCCCTTGAATGCTTTTTGTAAATTGAGTTGATGTAAATGACACCACTGATCATGAAATCAAAGGTGAAGGCAAATGGGTTCAGTAATTAAATGGTTGATATTGAAGAGAGCAGAAGAAAATGCCCAATTTTCTTTTTGGGAAGAAAATTGTGCAATGTGCTGGCTGAATCCACAGGGCTTTTTGTTTCTAGAAAGTCACGTGGGTTTTACACATGAAGAACATGCACAGAGTGCATATGGTGACTGTCATTGCTCTAAAACCTTGGTTTCTCCTTTATATCTTCCCCTCTCTCCTTTCAGGAGCAGCACTAAATAGCAGATTTATTTTTGTAGTATTATAGTTTTAGTATTTGCATGCTGTTTTTTCAAGTGAAATAAAATGTGATATAACATCATTAGGGAAGTTTTTAGAAAAAAAAACACAACAGATTGGTAAAGCTGCTTATTTCAGCCTTCTTCCCCATTTTTTCTTTGGAAGACTGTGTTTTTTGTACAAATAAGTTGATGGGATTCACACTGAAAAAAAAGTTCTGGTATGTGTACCAGAGCTGTACCGCTCTCTTGTGGAAATTGGATCATATGATAATGTTTTGGAATGGAGGAGAGGGGTTATGAAATTGTCATCTGTGTTGCTGCTGCTAACAGATGTGCAGGTGTTCTCCACCAAAGCATGGAGAGCTTCTTTAGCCTGTGTCATAATGTTGATGAAAGAAACCTTTTCTGGCAATGCAGTTTGTGTCTAGTCAGGGGTTTATATAAAGTCAATATGGTGAGGAGGCTGAGTGAGTGTGACCAGGAAATTTTGGGTTTGTTCCTGAGTGCCTCTGAGTTGGTGGCATCACTTTGCTTTGCTCTAAAGTGCTTTGCTGACCACATCTCTTGGCAGAGGAATAAATGGATGCTCAGGTCACTTTCTGTACTGTAACCATTAAAAGTTCCTTTCTCATGGCTCCTGAGTGAGTGGTGTGGGTGAGGCAAGGCATTTCTGTTTTAATTTTCTGTTATGTGTTCCATCAAACCTGAGGTGCCAGAGCCTGGGCAGCACTTGCCAGAAACCTGTGCTTAAAATTTGTTTCAGAGGCCCAGTCTCTGAATTTGAACCATCCACAGCAAAGCTGTATTTTCACACCAGGATGCCTTTAAAAACAACAGCGCTCTTTTCATTGCCTGTGTCTGCAGCTGCCAGGTTCTCCTTGGGCTCTGCTTGCCTGGAGGTGGACTGGCATTTAAAAACTGTGCCTGTGTGTCAGGCATAGTGACCTAAAAAGCCAGGCTATAAAAAGATAATGCAAACAGCTGCTGCTTGGTTTGCTTTTTCCTCTTGCTTTCCTTTCTTAAAAACAACTTTCCAGCCTCAAAACAGGGCAACCTAAATAAAAGATTCTGAAAAATTATGTTAATTACAGTTTTTAACTAGTGCTCGTTAGGTAAATAAACTGAATTTATTTAAGACATTTTGAAAACTGTTCATAAATTCAAAGGACACAATTCTTAGTCCTTTGGCATCATTTTACCCCATCACCTCTTGTTGCTCTGCTTTTGCTTGTTCTGCTTTAGACCATGCGGGGTATTCCTGATAAGCTTTCCAATATGTTGCTGGCCTTAGGACTGTGGTGTACCACCACAAAATCCTTGTGCACTTGGCGAGGTTGGTCAGCTCTGATGGGGCAGGTCCCTGCCCCTGTGGTGCATCTAGGGCCAGGCTGTGCTGTTCAGTCTCCTGCTAGATGGAGTGGATCCATTAATTTTCCATTTCTCTGATGTCCTTAAGGACTTTTCTCTGTTCTACTTCACATTATCTGTAGAAATTTAATCTTTCAAACTCATCTTTTGATCAAAATTGTGTGAAGCTGCCCTGTGGATGAGGCCAGTCAGAGCGGGACTTGTAGAAACTGGACAAGACAGAGGAAAAGACAGATGGACAGCAAAAACACATAAAAATTTCCATGGACACACAGACTCAAAGTTTCATCTGTATTTCATGAACAGATTAATACTTATTTGTTGTGTTAAATGTGCAGTGCCTCTTATTCTGTTTTGAGAACGTTGATGAACATTTTGCTACTTTTTTGGGATTAACTGAAATGGGCCTAATCTGCTGTTAGGATCGTTGCTGTAGTGGTACAAGTAACATTAAGTTGTTTTCTTCCTCTTCTTTTTGTCTAATACTTCTGCATGTTTGGTAGGTTTCTTTCTAAAGAAATAATGATAATTTGAACTTTCCCCAAAGTTGGTTGTAGAGTTTGTATGAAATTGATAGGAATGTCTTTTTTACTCCATTGGTAATGTGCAAAATATTTCTGTACAGGTAGAAGAAGGATGGTGGAGTGGAATACTGAATGGCAAGGCAGGGATGTTTCCTTCAAACTTTGTGAAAGAATTGGAATCAACGGATGATGGAGAAGCACAGGATGCTCTGGATGACACAGGTAGTGTTCTCTTTGTTGCAAACTCTTAGCAAAGTAATTTTTGATTTCTGGTATAATTTGGGGTATTATGGTTAAAGTCCAACAAAGCTGTAAAGAATTCAATCTTCCTAAGAATGATGTTCCCATTTCTTTCCAGAAAGTGTTTATGCTGAATATGAGGATACATGTCTGCTTCCATTTTCACTCATAATAAAATTGCAGTTAAAGTCTTAATCTTGCAAATGTATGGTATACACTTTATCACTAGAAATTTTATCATATTCAAAGTTGATATTTTTTAGACTTGGATATAAAATTATTATTTTGTTTAATAGCTTCTTTCAGTCTTATTCTCACAGACATGAGCTCTCTAAAACAGAAAGTTCAAGTGTTTAACCAAGTCATTTGGGAATCAAAACAGTGTGGAGAGCCTCAACTTAAATAAGTCCAAGGAAGGAGATCCCTGTTGAGTTTGTGAGGTCCCCAGGATGAAGTGAGAGATGAGGAATCTGACTCCATATTCTCAGAAGGCTGATTTATTATTTTATGGTATTGTATTATATTATATTAAAGAATGCTATACTAAAACTGTATTAAAGAAAGGATACAGACAGAAGGCTTAACAAGAATGATAATGAAAAACTCATGACTGACTCCTCAGAGTCCAGCACAGCTGATGGTGATTGCTCATTAAGTAAAAACAAGTCACAGGAAACCAATCAAACATGCACCTGTTGGTAAACAATGTCCAGACCACATTCCATACACAGGAGCAGCAATCAGATAATTACTGTTTTCGTTCTTTTCTGAGGCTTCTCAGCTTCCCAGGAGAAGAAATCCTGGTGAAGGTATTTTTCAGAAAATATGACCGTGACAGATCCCAGTTCTTAGGCCTTAGATTATGTTTTAATCTAACAATAAGATGTTTTTAATACAGGATTTACATTTGGCTGTCCTTTTCTAGCCATGACTGTGTAGCTGGGGCAGAAGCAGATGCTCTGTGGCTGAGCAGTAGCCTGGGTGGTGCCAGGCAGGTCTGTGTTTTACAGGCAATTACTCTGTTCCCTTGAAAATGCACTTTAGGAACATTTCAATCTGTGAAGATCAATTTGAAGGGGACTTGTCATATGGTATTGCTGAAACAGCAATGTTTTTTGGGAACATCATAGCAGAAGTTAATTGATTTTTAAAAGACAGTGGTCTAACATTTGAGAAAAACAGGTTTTTTTTTTTTACCTTGTGGTGATGTGCACCCTCATTTACATGGTGTCCAGTACTGATTGCTTCAAACAAGGTCTTGTTCAGACATAGGGAAGAGCCTGGCTTGGAATTTTTTTTTGGAAATTGTGGAAATCACAGTAGCACAAAATAAGAGCTTGATTTGAGCAGTCCCAAATAGCTCAGTGGCTGTTTCCTTGGAGGTCAAGTTCCCTGAGTTTAGTGGGGTCTGGTGCAGTGAATTTACAAATGGGTATATATTGATCTTAATTCCTGTTTTCTGAGATCAGTGACACTGCACAGTAATTTGAAGTAATTGTGTTTCCTGTCAGTACCTAACAAGTTGGTGTGTTCAGCCCCTCCTCCCCCAGGGGTTGTGTTTAGTGCTCAGTACTTTCACAGTCAGGGTCTGGAGTACCTTTTGGTTCCCTCCTCACTCTTGGGAAACAGTGAAACTTCCTTTCACTCACTTGTGGTCATTCAAAGGTGCAGCCTGGACTTTGCCCACCAAAGGGATGTTTAGCTGTCCTATGAGATATGAGGGGGATATAACTAAATAAAGAGCAGCTGGGTAGACAAAGGTGAGCAACTGAAGTCAAGAGAACTTAGCTTCACGATACCATCAAAATATCTTAAATTAATGATAGGAGGAAGAGGCTTTAATCTTTATTGCAGTTCACAGGCCTGCATGGGCTGAAAAGAACTTCACCCAACGGCTAAAAGACGTGGAGGCCATTTTGACTCTGGTTGATGAAAGCTGTCTGCTTTCACATGACTCTCCTGGAATTCTGCATGCAAAAGTTGCTTGACTATGTATACTAATTTGTGGACTTTAACAGATCTAACCATAGTTTAAAAACTTCTTCAAAAAAGTTGCAAAGCTCTTAGCAACAAAATTAAGTTATTCTCTGAAATACGCTTCTGGGGGGTGGATAAATGCTGTCCCTTAAAACTGAAAGATTAAAAGAATTGTAAATAGTTGAATTATCCAGCAGTGATTGATTTCCAACAACTGTATCTGGTTTCAATGCTTGGAGCATTTTGAGCAGTAGGAAAATGTCTCTGGTTCCTTGAGAGGCATCACTACCACTGAAATACACTCTGTTTTCCTGTGACAGTTGAAACATGTTTGGATTCATTATGAACCTTTATTGATTATTGCTTTCTGTGGTTGTAGCTGTTCAAATGAGAAGCTTTTAAATGTTGGACTAAAATGCCATTTTCAGAGAGTGCATAAGCAGTGTTTCATACAACTAATGGAAAACACTGATGTTAACAGGCTGTGGATCCTGAGTGATAATTGAAATAACAAGAATATTAGTGAGCTATTGACTTAGTTGCCAGAGTAATCAGGACAAAACTGGTGTGATTTAAGTTGGTCTTACATTAAATATAAAATGAGAACAAATATGAGGTGTTACAGCTACAGTGGTGTTCCTTGAAAAGCTCTTTATCAGGAGGAGTGCACAAAGCTGTGCTGCTTCCACTTTTTTCCCAGAAGAGCAAATAAATAATTTCAGCTTTTAAAATAGCTTTCCCTTTCTTATTTTATTTTCAGAGCCTGTTTTCAATAGTCCTACCTCACCTGTGACCTCTCCAGGAAATGGGAGTGAACCTGCTTTGGGACCAGCACAGCCAAAGAAAATCCGAGGTGTTGGGTTTGGAGATATCTTTAAGGAAGGCTCAGTGAAACTTAAAACAAGATTATCCAGTAATGAATCAGAAGATAAAAAGCAAGATAAGGTTTGTAGTGGTACATATTGTTTTTTTGAGATTTCCTGTTAAAATAATTTAGGAGATGTGGAATCTGACCATTACCCTCTCATCGGGCTCTTGCCTATAAAACAAAACAAATCTCCTTGAATATGCTTCACAGTAAGTTGTATTTAACATTGATTCCAAAAGGTCTAGTCAAATGTCTTGATATTTAAATCATTAGAGACTAAAAACCAAGCTGATACATAAATTCTCTTTTCAGAGCCATGACAGTGGCATCTCAAACCATCTGCAGTGTGAGGTCCCTCTGGTTCACCTTGTAACAGACTTTATGTATAGTCTGGGAGAAGATTAAGTCTACCAATATAAGTTAAACTTGTTTTTTAAAACAAGGAATATTTTGGCATTTCTTTGTGTTTTGGCTTATTTGGGTTTTTTTCTCAAGTTTTGGTGGATGTTGAGACTGCTGTTCTAGGTGTCAGCTGCCATTACCTTCAGTGAGTGCTGCCAAGCTTCATAAATTACTGGTTGTGTAAGCCTGTAAGCCTTACACAGAAATGCAGTTCTAGGATTTTGCATTTTCTTTTCCCCATTTTTTAAAATGGTTGAGTGGGAAAAGGAGCCCTTTTATTCTTTGTTTGAATTTTATTTTGATCTGAACTCAAGAGTGTTCTTACTCCTTGGAAGCACAGCAACAATGCGCAGTCCTTTCACTTGAGTTTACTATTCCAAGAGCTTATATATGGATTTTCAGCTTTTGGTAATTAAAGGCAGCTGAGATAGTCCAGTTTTGACTCAGGTGATAAAGAAAGCTTTTAAAGCCTTTGTCTATTTCAATTTGTTTGTGGGTTATGGTCATTAATGCTATTCTGGTGAGTGATTTGTTTTCCTTTGTCATGGTAATAATTGTATTGATGTAGGGCAAAAAGTGAGACGAGTCCCTTGGAGGAGGGGAGGATCAGAGACTTCCTTGAATGTGTTTTTCTTCAGTAGCAATGCTCAGAGCAATGGCATGCCGTGTGTATTGTTTGTTTCTGGTTTGGTCAGAGCATCAGATGATTTGGAAAAGTTGCAAGTGTGTTGCCTTCTGTTGAAAGCTTGGGGAATGTTGCTTCCTAAAGAAGGTGTTGTTTAGAAAAGCTCTGTGGCAGACCTTACTGCAGCCTTTCAATATATAGATGGAGAGAGACTTTTTACTGAGGTCTGTAATGAGAGGACAAGGGGCAATGCTTTGAACTAAAAGAGGGGAGACTTAGGAAGAAAAGAGAGGAGATGAGGAGGATGCTCTTCATGGTGAGGGAGGTGGGGTGCTGGAACAGATTGTCCACCCAAGTTATGGTTACCACATCTTTGGGATTGTTCAAGGCCAGACTGGATGGGGCTTTGAGCAGCCTGGTTCTGTGGGAGGTGTCCGTGCTCATAGCGGGGAGTTGGACTTGGATGGTTACTGAAGGTCCCTTCCAGCTCAAACTTCTCCATGATTCTGTGAAGTCACATGGATTCTCCTCATTCCTCCCCTTTGTCCCTTGATATGGCAGGCTGTGATCACTATGGTGATGTTCATGTGAATGCTGGTAGAGTAGGTTTTCAGGACCTATCTTCCAGTTTGCTTTCTTGTCATGAGATTGATTATTCAAAAGGGTGCCTCCCTACTGTCTGCCTTGTCACTTGGGAACATAAAGAGCCTTTCCAAACTTGTGCAATTAATATGAAGTCTGCTCAGACCTTTTGGATTGTTCTATTTGACTGTATATATGCAGTGACGTATGCTGTGCAGTTTTGGTTGGCCTGTCTGGAAAGGTCTGGTCATTTCTCATCAAGAGAGGAAATGAAGTGAGAAAACAGTTTTGCATAGCTTAATGTCAGAGAAATAAACAATTTAGTTCAGCACTCAGTATTCCACTTACACTTATTGCCAAAGTCATCCCAAGGTGGACAGACTTACAGAACAGCATGGAGAGCCCAAGGGACATAATTCTCATGAAGCTCTTGTAAAAATAGATGGCTTCCTTGGATTTGTGCTTAACTTGCTTTGGTGTTAGCTGATGAAATGCATGGAGAGCACTGTCAGTCTTTTAAGACAGTAAGAAAAAAAAAAAAAAAGAAAGCTGTGTAGAGTAGAGGTCTCTTTTCCCTTGGAAAATTCAAGCTGTTCAGCACAGGAAGGCTGAGCACTGATGGATCTGAAGGGCCCAAGAGTGTATATGCTGCTGCAGGAGATCCTTCCAGCTCTCCCAACATCCCACATGGGCTCAGGCTATTTATACCCTGTCTGCCTAAACTTCCTCTCTTATTCCTAATTGCATCTTACATTGGAAGGGGGAAATGCAGAGAACTATTTCCATGTTGGAGGTGTTTAATCTCAGAGGAGGGTTATTTTAGTGCTTCCTTCATATACCATTCTGGAGAGAGTTAAATTGCATAGGAACTGCAGGAGCATCCCAAATGACCTTGGCTTCTTCTATGGTATGTCAGAGGCACCAAACATCAGCCTACAGGCATTGTCTGGGTCTAAGGAGAGTAAAACCAGGTTCTCTGACAGTAGATCTGCAAAGTAGAACTGTAGATGAAAATGAGCAGAGTAACTAAAGGCAGTGGGATTTTTCATATCACTAATGCTGTTAGGGCTGCTCAGGTGAGTACTGACTGTAAGATCATATTCTGTGTTTGTAGCTCTGGGTGTGAAGAGGTGGATGCAGCTGAAGCTGTCAGAATCTGCCTGGCAGCTCAGTAAGTTTCTGAGGGGAAAAATTAAATATTCTGTAATATATTTTAGTTAGATGTCAAACTCTGAAACTTGTGGCAATGCCTCTGTTTTTTTCATTTAGGGGAAATCTGTAGTGACACTTGAACTGTTCTGTACAAATTGCTGAGAGGGAAGGGAGGCTGGGATGGGGTTTTCATGTTCTTTCATTTGTCTGAGTAGTTAAAAACTGCTTGTCTGAAGTGCTGTATGGCTGCTGAGTATCCTTGCCTTATTCCAGTGCAGGGTAAGCATGGCCAGAGAGTTGCTGAGAGCTGAGCTGTTAAATAACTGCTTCTGTTATGTGCTGGATATTCAGGCAATATTCAGGCTAATGGGAGAGTAACATCTGGAACTGCTGAAATACAATTGCTAAAGTATATTTGGCCATATCCTGAGACCAGCTTCCAGTTTGAAAGCTGTTCTCTGTCTTTGACCAGTAGACAAACTCTAATTGCAGTGTCTGTAATGAAGTAAATACAGTAAGCTAAGTACTTAGTGGGAAAACTCATTAAATCTCTTGGAGATGGTAATTTTCATCATCTCAGCTAATGAAAAATTCAGTATCTTCCATAGCCTAATAACAAACAAAACTCGAAAGAATTTTTGTTAACAAAGTTCTTTTTCCTTAATACAGCCATTACCTAACCATCCTCCTGGAACAAAGTTAATTCATTTTCCCAGTACAATAAAAACTGAAAACACACCTGAAGTAATAAAACCAGAAACTGAAAGTAAACCAAAAGGTAAGGCTGATGGATATTAAATCTGATATGTGGTAGTCCTTTCTTATGAACTATTTGGTTAGCAATTTATTTTTTTGGTGTTAAAATCTAAAATGTCTGCGTGTACTGAAGTTTTGTGTAATGTTCTATACGCTTGAGGAGTTATGCAAGTGCAAAAAAGTCTAAACTAATTTTTGCTTACATTTCTTTAGAAAAAAAATCAAAAACATTTGTAGGGTTATCTCCCAGAACAAAATAAGGCTGGGATAGGAGCTTCTATTGCAACAGTCATTTTGCATTAATTTTCTGTTGATGTGTTGTTTACTTTCTACCTTGTTTGATTCTGATGGGATGCTGGAGACCTATTTCCATGGAACAGTCTCCCAGCACAATTTCTGTCCCCAGCTTACACAAGTTCCTTTGTAGGCTCGGTATTTTCTGTGGAGGTGGCAGCATGCATCTGAAAGTTGGTGCTTAGGTTGTGTTGAGGTCTCTTCCCTTCATAATCCAGTTTCATTGTGATTCTGTTTATGCTGTTTTTTTATTTTTCTTTTTTATCTCTTAAGAATTTATGACTTCATTTAGCTGCCAAATTGCACAGTTTTATCAAGAGAGATATTTTTAAGTCAACCCAAAACATCTTGTGGGAGTGCCAATCCGTATAAAAAATTAACTTTGATTATGTGATGTGTAGACTGCTCATTTCCCCGGTTCCAGAGCAGACATTTTGTCAACTTCTGTATTGTAATTTTAAGTATATTTTTGTTTTATGTGGAAGTACCTTATTTTGGTGTGTTGTTTTCTATGGAATGCATAATTTGCAGAAATAAGAAGTCTACAACATCTTGCTTTTAAACCATTCCAGCGCTATTGCTCTAAGAACCAGCAAGACAATGTGCAGCCCTGAGCATTGTGAAATTTGACTTGTCTAAAAATATGCATAAAAATTAACTCTGCCTAGAAAAAAATCCCAACATTCAATGCTGGACACTCAAAGCATTCAGTATTTAGCTCCTTTAATAGATTCAGGTGCATCTCATGCCAAAAGCATGGAAGTTGATCTAATCCTGTAGCCCTGCTGAGTCTCTTTCCCAGAGAAGCAAATATATCAAAGAGGAACTTAAATATGACAGTAATAGAAGCTGTAGGAGAACATCAGTAGGTAATACCTATAGACACCAGATAAGAACATCTTAAACCTTAGGCTTGTTTTTCTCCCTTAGTGTTTTATTTAAATATAGACCATAGTGTAGTTGATGTGTCTCACCCTCAGTTTTGAGAGACCAGGTTTTAAAATAAACTGTATTCATCTCTTAGCAGATAAACACAGATCTCTGAAATGTTTAGGCTAGGTTGGCTTATTTTGCTGTGAGGCTCTTCTGGTTTTGGAAGTTTGTTTTGGCCTCTGGTGCAAGGATATAAAAATATTTTCTTTAAAAAGTAAAATAATCACAATTTGATCCCTCTTTCCCCCAGTTATGTTAGGATACAAAATCTATATATATTATCTCTTTAGGCTTGGCATACTTTGGCATTTTAACATAGTGGTTATTACTCCTTTTTCTTTGTGAATACAGTTTGTGCATTTTTAAACTAAAGATATGTATCTTGATTAAACAAAACACAACAACAGCAAAAAGGTTTGACTGCAACTGATTTATTCTCTTGGCACCCAGCAAAAGCTATCATTAAGAATTGCAGGTGATTCTGTGGTTCTGTGACTTGATGGTGTGCTGCTCTAACTGGAGGATGAAGCAGCTGCTCATTGTGCTGTCAGTGCCAAACACCTGATAGGTTATGGCAGCAGCTAAAGAGTCCTTTTTGTTTGCTTCCTCTTTCTTAGTGTGTCAGATACAGAAATACAACCTTTTTAGCTGCTAAATTGTTTAAAATGTGCTGGGGTTAAAAAGTCTATGTTTATGTATTTTGGTCTTTCTCATGGTTGTTTTTGTGCCAGTGTGGGAAAGGAAAACAAATCCTCTTGCGTTTTCAATTGTTACCACAATTTAAAATGGATTAGTTTTGAACTGTTCCAAATGGAAAGAAAAGAATTATTCTTTCTGCTTTTGCAGAAGAGCCTGTGGCCGAGAGTTGATGGCTCAGATGAGCTCTGGTTTCAGGTGCTTAGCCAAGGAATGCCTTTGCGTTAGTTACTTGGTTTCACTGCACAATTTCTGAAGTCTGCTGCCTGAAATTTCTGTGGCTGTACATGTTAATAAGGGATGTCACTTAATAAAGGATGTTGAAGATAGCTGCCTGTATTTAATTAGGACCACAAACTTGAAATTTAGATCAATTTTGAGAAAATACATAAAAATTCTAATAAGCTTGAAATAATTTTTGTGTAAAGTAGTTCAGAATTGAATGTATAAATGCTATTGGGGGGGTAGATGTGCTGTTACAATTTTAACTGCTACACTTTTAATGCCTCTTTTCTCCCTCTGACATCAGAGTGCTTGAATTAAGTTGTGAAAAAAAGGCTTTGGGGCTTATACTTCTACCTTCTCAAAGATCTATTTCCTTTGCTTAATAAGTATATAATCTTATTTTTCCTTTCATTGAATATTCATAAATCATTCTCAGGTGGCTGGTCTAGAAGGAAAGTGTGATTATAGTGTGAATTTCTCAGCTTTCAGACAGCATAAGTGAGCTGTTATAAGGAATGTTACTACCCATGGTATCCAGATTAATTGTGCTCCTCTGTTCCAGCCAAGGAATATTGCAGGACAATATTTTCCTATGATGGCTCAAATGATGAACTTAGCTTTAAAGAAGGCGAGATCATTCAAATAATCAGTAAGGTAAGAATGCTGGGTGTGCTCTGGCCATGTATATGGCTTTGGTGAATTTTGTACAGGGAGGTTGTGTATGAACTGAGAAGCAGGAGGGTCTGTTGGAGCAGATATTCCTGTAGACTGATTTCTCTCATGTGAGAGTCAACTCTTTGCTTCTGCACTTGATGAAGATACAGATGACTTCAAAGATTGTTCCAGAGTGGGAGTTATCTTGGGATCCTCAGAGGCCAGTGGGATCAGTGTACACTCAGTACCAAATGCCTTTTCAGTGAGGAAATGGGAAAAGCTTTCAAACAGCCCCTTTACCTTCAGAAACAGTTCTTGTTCCCTGAGGATTCAGAATAACCAGACAGAAATTAGTGATACTTTCTGTCTGTAAGAGAAACGTGATTATTTAGTTGAATGTTCCCATTTGTGTTGAATTCTGAAAGACCATTCTGATGCAGAGATGATTTCAAACAGAAAATAAAGCTATCCATAATTAATTTCCCTGCACTATTCTGCAGACTTTTGTTAGTCTGCTTGCCTATATTAAGAAATAATGACTTTGCTAAAAAAGTGGAAAGTTTAATCTTCAATTTTCACTCAATTGCAGAAGAAGACTTAACACATTTTTCTTTATTAAAACTTTAATTCTGTGGAATTAAGTGATTGCTATTATGAGCATCATTGATCATAACTACAGTGGAAATGAGTAGTTGTGGAAGCCCTTTTGTGAACAGAGCAACCCTTGCCCCGTCTCCACTCAGTCTTTTGCCTCTCTGTCTTTTTAAACCAATTTATTCCAAGCACACACTGGTTCATAGTGGAGCTAAAAAGAGTTGTCCAGGCTGAGTGGCATCCCTGCCCATGGCAGAGGGTTTGAACTGTGTGATCCTTCAGATTCCTTCAGCCCAGACCATTGTAGATTTCTGTGATTTTTTTTTTTGGATCTGAGGCACAGGGGAAAGCTGTTATTTATGCTGGTGAAGTATAACATCATACTTTCTGTTATGGACAGAGGCCTTCATCCAGTGACATCATGTAATGGAGTTCTCTGCCACTGAATTAATTATCCAATACTGTATTTTCTCATAGTGTGGTTATTTTTTCTCTCAGGGGTTATATTCTTCTGCTTCTTCACCCTTTTCAGACCAGTGGAGCTGATCCATCACATCAGAATCACTTTTTTTTAGTAGAATTGTGCGTCATGCCAATATCATTTGGAGTATTTACTGAATAACTTGCTGGTCAAGGAAGCTGAGAAGATCAAATGTTGTGTGTTAGGTCTTAACTGGGTTTATGTACTTTCCTTCCCTTTGCAGATCTTATCCTTACACCCTTATCTTATATGATGTAATATAATTTCATCCTACATTTTAGAAAACAAACAAAACCTGACCAAATCTGATCCAATCTGTAGCTGTTTCCCCTTGTTAAGTTGGCCAATTTCAGACAAACAATTACTTTGTTTGGAATAAAAGGGAAGAAGCTGTTGTGTAACTGTATCTGTTCCGGGGAAGAGGTAAATACTGGTTGAAATGACCTGTTGTTTGTTTTAGGACACTGGAGAGCCAGGCTGGTGGAGAGGAGAGCTCAATGGCAAAGAAGGAGTCTTCCCAGATAACTTTGCTATTCAAATACAAGAGTCTGATAAAGACTTCCCTGTAAGTTCTTACACCTATTGTTTAGTATCACAAAAAACTATTAATGAAAATGTAGAGAATAAAAAAAGTCACCACACATTATGCTGCTTAAAATATTACAATTGTGGCAGTTTTAACTTTATCTTGACCTAGCTGTATAAAAGAAGAAAGATGAAAAGATTAATCTTTGTATTTAACTTGTCCATAAATACTAAAGTGAGGCATGTTTTTTGAGATTAATTAATGAAGATGATCAGGTCCTTTAGAAAAGGATGTAGTTATGAAAGCATGGTGTTGCATGTTACTGATTACTAAATTAAACCCTTACTGTTTAGGAAGGAGATAAGCTGTTGGTTTTTTCCATCTCAAGTCCTTAAGTAACTGTAATTACAAAATGCTGAGTGACCCTTCTGGGTCTGATTGGGATTTTTCCATGTCAAAACAAGCAGTACGCTGCAGTATATGAAGGATATTTTGTGGGTAGGATTTAGAAATGTTTTTCACCATCTTGTGTACTAACTTGTAGAAATTCATGTTTTCATGTGGTTCTCAATGATCTTATAATTTTGGTCCTCATTTTACAATGGGTTTTTTTTTTGTTGAGATTAGTGTGGTGTTTTGGTTCTGTCACATTTGTGTAGCAAAAATGGTTGTTTTAATTCCCAGATGTGCATCAGCCCCAGGTGGAATGGATTCAGCTCCAGATCAGGAGTTACTAATTTATCATTTATCCTGAGTTGCCTCACATACACAGAAACCTACCTACCCACAGTCAGAATTTTCTTTACAGATGGATTCTCAGCTGTGCAAGGGTGGCATAAATGCCATAAAATACAAGAAAAGAGGGTAGGTAGGGTGGCTATTTCACAATATAGAGTTGTTTCCTACAGAGAGGGAGGGGGGAACCATTCTTTTACCCTAAACAGCATTTCCCTGCTTTGATCCTTTGTTCTGCTTTGTGTGCAGTGTCTCAGCACAGGGATTCACCTTGCACTGAGCAGCTTTCAGGTTCAAGGCATTGGATGGCTGGTGATCATAATCAGCTATTTGATACTGACTTCATGAAAAAACAGAGCAGAACTGTATAATGGCAAGTTGATGCTGGACTCTGTTTAATTGTTTTTGGTACAGGCAGCAATGCTGCACAGCTGGATAATGTAGTTACTTTTTTGGGAAGAAAGAAAATAGAATCTTGTTACTTAGGTACACTTGCTTTTGTGTCCTCTGAAACCAGAGAAAGAAATTGAATATGGGTTCTCCTGCTTGCTTAGTTACATTTCACATGTTAGAATAAAATCTTGTTGCATTAAAAAGAGCTTATTCAATAGCTGTAGGGGCACAGAAGTGAAATCCATCCATAGCAAATGTTTGAAAAATTCCCACTGCAGGTGTTTTTGGAGGGGGTGTGTTACAGAGAGCCTGTATGGTTTCAGCAGTACCTGTGTGAAGAACAAGTGGTTTTGTAGGCTTTTGTATCATTTTATCAGGGAATCTTGTCCTTAGCACGACCAGAAAGGCCCCTCTTCTAAAGTAGCTTAATGAATCACATTCCAAGGATGAGTGGTTGGATCTCTCCTGGGAGGTGCCAGTCTCCTTTCGGCAGGACAGATATTCAGCTTCCAAGTGTATCAGAAAGTGATGGGTAACTGTTTCAAAATAGTAATTTCAATGTACAAACTGTTGCATTGTGATATTTTGTACATTTTTAATGGCTGGCATAGTTTGTCCATCTCTCCCACTTAAATATAATGATAAGGGAGCTCAAAACAATGTTTTTGATGTAACTGCAGTCTTTGAGACAAATGCTGCCAGCATCTATTAGTTTTTTCTTACAGTTACACTAATTTAAAAGTCAGTTAATAGAAGCCATTCCTCTGATACTCAATTCAGAAACCTGTTTTTAGTGAAAGTGAACATTTTTGGTTCAAAAAATTACCTGATTACTCTTTTAAACTGGTATTGTACTAAGATTGAGGTTTAGATATTGAAAGCAAAATGAGTGTGATCAGAGCAATTCTTTGGACTACAAAAGGTGAAATTACTGGATTTAGGGTTTTTTCTCCTCTGTTTATGCACATTGCTGGAGCACTGATTTAATTTCAACAGACCTGAATTTTGTTCCTGAATTTTTATAACTGGTTGTCTGGGAGATATCAGAGGAATTGTTCCAGGTCTTTGTGTTTTCTGTCTGAATTGATTGCCTCCTTTGTGAAATACTTTGAAATCAGCTGGTAAACAAGCTCCACGTTACAGTATGCAAAACAAAACACAAATGAGGCTGTCTTGGATACAGAGAATATCTGCTTGCTTGCTTGTTTGACTTTGGTTTTTTCCCCTTCATTTTGCAGAAGCCAAAGAAACCTCCACCTCCAGTTAAAAGTCCTGGTATGTAGTACATGTCTGGTGTTCTGAGAAAATACTAAATTGCAGAAGCAGTGTATGACTTCAAAAGAAAATTTAGAAGTAGTTTTTTATTTCTTAGTAATGCAGCCATAGTCACACCTCAAGCTTACTTTTCATATTTTATATATTTTGGTGTTGCTGTATATTTTAAAAATTATGATGGAGCCTACTTTGGAAACATTTTAACAATGGCTCACCATTTTCTGGGCTCAAGTGAGTGTTTATAAACGGCATTACAGTCCTTGTAAAAGAGAAGACACAACTTGGCATTAGTCTTATTTTTAGTTAGTGACCAAGATAATTAAAGCTCTTTGAAAAATGTCTGTGGTTTGCATTTGCATTCAGCTTCAAGACCTGAATTGCCAGCTGGAGAGAAGAAATTCCTTTCTTTGAGGGCAGAAGAAAAAGGTAAGGACAGTTTTCTTCATAGTGACTTGGCTGCTCTGGCAATGGGTGTCTGTTCAGGAACCATCATACAGGCTCCCTTGATACCATCTGCTGAAATTGTCATGTCTGTGATGTTACAAAAATGTCTTTGGAGTGGTTAGAGGAATTGCTAAACTCTATTAAAATGTTTATTTCTTATTATTACATGACATTCTGAAGATTGGTTATTGTATTGCACAGTAACATAGTTACTATTAAATATCTGAAGGTGTAGTTCTGTGACAGTGACTGCAGTTTTGAGCAGCAGGAGTAACTTACTAGAAAGGCAAAGGTCAACTGCTGCAAAAATCAGTCTGGTCAAAAGTATTTTGAAAGAGCTACACAGAACAGATACAAGATTCCTTAGATAGATGCTACAGTCTCAGACATTGGGGATTTTTTATCCTGTTTATTCTTGCTATATTCCGTATTTTCAAGTTCCACTGAATTTGGAGACATTTACTACTTTATTCTTAAAATTTAAAGGATGCCTTTTTCCAGAGGCAAAGCTACTGTTGTCACCCAAACAGATTCTAAAAGGCTTCTTTCCATATTTGAAAAAACTTGCCAAGTGAAAATGTTTGATTGTGTTTAAAAGTGAGAAGCTTAAACAAATGTGTTGGTTGGGCCTTGCAGAAGAAATCCTGCAGCTTAACCAAATTACAAAACCACTCTGTCCTGTGAATGGAGAACTGTGGCTGACCACCATTTCTACCAGTGTGGCTCCTGATGGGTTTCTTGGCTTCCTTGGGCAGTTTTTATAACCCCCATTTTAACAAGGCATCCTCTCAGGTATTGAATATGAAAAACACTTGTTAAGTCACTTCTGTTTGTTCTGTATATGACCAAGCAGTAATTTTTATCTGTTGGAGCAGTGTCTTCAGATGTGAGTTAAGATCAACTGTATGATTCCAGAAATGCTGATCTCTTGGCTCCTTTTAAATACTTCTAAACTGAAACCAGTTTAATTTTAAACTAGTTCTGTTTGGACTAAAGTGTTAATCTTTGCATAGTTGAGCTCAACTGTTCATGGAGGAATATAGGCAAAAATATTGAGTGACACTGTCCAAAAAACATAGGAATGTGAAATCTTTTACAAAATTACAAGGTAAAGAACTCTTCTTTACTGAGCTACAGGAAATGAAGGAGGAAAAATTTGTTAAGGATTCAATTGCAGATCAGGTCATAAGAATTAGTTTTCTAGATAGCACTAGTGTTTTACTGGAAGGTATACCCATTTATCAGTGCAATTGGACTTGTGGAAAAATAGCACTGTTACTACTAGTAATTGAATCCATTAAGTATGAAATTGTTCTGTAACTAGTTCTCAGGAAAAAAATATTAATTGAGCAGCTTTAATCAGAAGCTATCAAACCATGTCATTTTTTATGCCTACTGGGAGACTAATCTGTCTTTAATTGCAATCAAATATTGATCAAAAATTAGAGTTTCTGTGAGTGCTTCTGTATTTATAGTGAAGGGCACTTAGTGGTGTCTGTCATGTAGAAATTTTTTTCCAGTGTAAATGTCTTCAGATTCCTGTTTTCTATTTCCATTACTAACCTATTCATTTTTAGCCAACATTCTTTTTCATTGAGAAGCAAAATCCAAAAAAGACATGTCATTTTGTCCAGCAGAAATGCCCAGTTTCTGTGTTCATGGTGAGCCTTGGCCTTTGGTATTAACTTACTCCACTTAGCTATAGACATTTTTTATATTCAGTTTCTGAGTTGGGAGTATTAGAAAGGAGAACTGACAGATGAGAGTTCAGGAATAGGGTTTGATGACAGCATTTTTTTCTGCCGTGTTTATGAACTCTCTTAAAAGCAAATTCTCAACTTGTGCTGAGCACAGCTTCAATAAAGCCATTGATCTGCAGTTAGTGCTGGCTGGTGTTGGCTGTTAAAACTGGCAGTGTTATGTTGGGTGGGGAGGCAGGAGTGGCTGCTGCTGCTGATGTGCTGCTTTTCACAGGGCAGGCAGCCCCACCGTGTGGCAAATCCTTCCACTGCTTCAGCATCCTGTGCTCTTAGCTCCATGCTGAGACACTGCAGGGAGATGGCAGCCAGTTTGTTTTGGCTCGTTTCTCCTCCTGGTGTTCGTGTCCCAAAGCAGGAAGCAGTTCTGCCCCTGAGCAATGCTTTTGGCAGAAGTGTCTCTAGGATCTGTTTGCTTCCCAATACTCCTGTGAAAGTACGTTGGCTTCTTCCTGTTTTGGGGTTGGAGGGTGCTCAGTGGCTGCAGGACTTGTCCAAAGGGAATCAGTCCTAGACCTGGCAGTTCAGGCACTTTGCTGGCATGGAGCTGAAGCAAATACCCAGCCCTGCTCCCAGGTCCATAGCATATATAAACAATTTACACCAGATCAATACATGGTTAAAAGCAAATTGCAGAAGGGGAGAATCAAAGCTGAAGGTCACTCTCTCCATCCCAGTTTACTGATTTACTGCCCTATAAGGGCAGTAACTGTAAAGAACTGTAACCCTTTGCTGTAACCTAACAATTATTTTTTAGAATATTCAGTACTTAGTGTATATTGAACTGTGGCATGGTTTTACAGGGAAAAGTAGAAAGTTTGGTCTGGCTAATCCAGCAGGGTAGAGTTAGGACACACGGGTTCAAACCTATTCAACTATTGCTTGTAAGGCAGCTTGAATTTTATAGTGTCCTGTATGTTGTATGCCAGCTCCTTTGGACAGGATTCAGTTAGATCATGTAGTCATTAAACAAATAAATAGTTTGTTTTTGTTTTTTTTTTTTTTTTTTTTAATTATTCATACCTAATTTCCATCTCTGTGTAGGAAGGCAGACTTGAGATAAAATAAATTCAGCTATTCAGATAAAAATTCATTTCTCTCCTCCCCCTGTCCATAGATAAATTATGCTGTTTGTATGTGTAAGAAGTCTAGTTACAACAAAATAAAAACCCCTGCCTCTTTAAAAGAAAATCAAATGAATTTGTAGAAAAGACAAAGCAGTACATAGATTTTTCGTTCTTACCTGTCATTTGCAGTGCAATAATGTGAATCCATAATTTATCACTACTGTTTCATGTCAGTAGGAAGATTTATCTTACTCGTAGATAAATTTTTGAGCTCAGGTAAGTAATTTGTGTGTTTTGATAAGGTATCATTTAAGACACTTGCATATGTATTTTTCATTTTGATCTTCAGAGAAGGCATTTCTGACAGCATGTGCTTTCTAACTGATTAGCAGTGTAAGAATTCTAGACAATGTGGAGTTTTTAAAATGTGACTTCCTTTGTCAGATGAAAAAGGAGCTTTGGATCAGAAGCCTTTGAAGCCACAAGCTCCTCAAGTACCACCCAAGAAGCCGATTCCTCCAAGCAAGACCAACAGCCTACTGAGAGCAGGGCTCCTGCACCCAAAACGTCCAGACAAACCTGGTTTGCCATCATCTGCATCCAAGTCAGTATCAATGAAACTGCAGGCACCAAATATATTCAGTTTGATTTGTTGTTTGATCTTCCCTCATGGATGAGTTGGGAAGAAATGTGTGCTTTAAGTGTGAAAAGGATGCAAGAATAAGTTTTGCCTTATACCTACCATTGTCTTAGTTCTCCAAGTCTTGATGAAGGTGAACTTAGGCTTTTCAAATCCTTTGAGACATTGAATCCATCTCAGAGTCAGCATTAGAGCATAACTGGCCATGGTGCAGATGAAATTGCTCATCTGATTGCTGCTGTAGCTACAGTAACAGGGTGGAATAAAAGAATGTGGGCATGGCCCTTGAGAATTATTACTGTGTTGAAAACAACCCTGAAAATTTGAGCTGCCTCAGTGTTCAAGGCTTGAGCACTTTGTATAGGGTAAGATAGATGGAAAGGAAGAACTGAGCATAGGTACCTCTGCTAAAGGTACTCACTGTGGTACTCATGTCTGCTCCTGGGAAAGGGAGCACTTACTACAGAACCACATTCAGATTCTCTACTCTTGAGCCTTCTCCCTTGAGTTACTGGATAAATAGATACAAATACTTCTAGATCCACTTAATTTTTTTTTCTCATGAGTTTGAAACTTCCACTAAAACTAATTTTGCATCCATGCAGTCTCCCACACATAGAATTTTCCTTTTTGTCTCCACTGCAGCAGTTGCTAGGCCCTTACCCAGAAGTGTAAATCAACAGCTGACTGGTAACTGTGCCTTTGGGATGTTGGCTTGAAAGAACCATGAGAAAGTGAGGTTGTGCTACACTTGGCCTTGTGCAAATAAAGCTGCTACATCAAAGAGCTTGCACCTTAAATAACTTTTCAGTATGGAATTATGTTATATTCACTTGGTATTTTGGAGGCTTTCCCAAGTAAAGATTATTTTTTTAAAACCACAAGTCATACTGTTTTCCAGCTTAGAAAATAATTGTTGTTCTAAAGGGATGCCCATGTGCAGTTAAATAGAGGTCTGTAGTAAGCTGTGGGCCTTGATAATTGAAACCTTTAAATCTTAGAGATATTTAAATGTCTTAAAGTGTTTAGCATTGTTTTAGGAAGATCAGGCTGCTATCTCTTTTTCTACTGCAATAAAACTTTTACAGGCTTTGGGAAGGCTTTGGGAGGTGAATTAATGAAAGGGGCACAGTTTATATATGATATGTACAGGCCAACCAGATAATCAGGCCTGGTCAGCATGGGTTTGTCATGGCAAGATCTGTAAAGGAAAATGTTTCCTATTATTTTTTATTTATTTTGGTGGAGGTTGCACTACTTTGGATTTTTTTCATTGTTGTTCTTGGGATTTTTGTTGTCTGTGAAAGATGTGAGCAGATATGGAAGGAATGCATAGTAGAACAAAAGCTGCAAGGTGACTTTTTCCATAGCCAGCAAGAAATACCTTGTTCTTGTCAGCCCTTTTTCCTGTACAGGAAATTTTCTTTCATGTCAAGGGGTCAGTTTCTGAATTATTTCAAGAGGTATTAGGGAAAATATTATTTAGCTCACCTGTTGTTTGAAGTGTAATATTTTGAACTGAAATGCCAAAGTGTGTCCTAAAAGTTCTGGATTATTTTCACATGGATTTTGTGCACATCTAGCAACTCTGCAAGAGATGGAGCAGAAAAATTGGTTTTCATAGGAGTAGAATTGATCTCAAGAAGCCTTGATTTTAAAACAAGGATTTAGAAAGTGATAAAATCTACCATAATTTTTCAGTTTGCTTCTAATTCTTGATATTTTTCCCTTTTAAACTATTTCATCTCTTGACTAGGCAGGTTTTGTTTTGTTTTTTTCCTTACCACAGAACTAATGGAGAAGTTGTTACTCTTCGACCGAAATCTGAAGTTGAGCCAGTAGCAAAACCAAAGTTAGACTCTGAACCATTGCCACTCAGACCAAAATCAGTAGAGGTAGATTCACTTGTGGTAAAGAGCTCTAAAGAATCAGGTAAGAAAAGAAATACTCTTTTGTGCCTTTCTGTTTGGATTGCTGTGTTTTACAGGGCTGGAATAAGCTTTTTGAGTGATTTACTCAAAGTGCCACTGAGTTCATTTATGCCTGTGTATTTTTTTAGAAGTGCTGGAGGCAGCTGAAGGTAAGAGTCAGGAGGGGATGAGCAGATGTCAGCAGGGTATTTGCAGGTAGCTGCTGAGCTCTGGGTTGGAACAGTGGGTAGGAAGGGAGACAGAGATAATGGTTTGTCCTTCTAATTTGAAAGCTTGCTTTTTTTGCTGCCACTTTCATCTTGAGTTTTTATGAAGTTGTTTTCTTAATGGCTGGTTCAGTTTGTTCTGGTTTTGCAAGTCAGATAACTGCTTTTCTAGCTAACTTCAGAATTCTTGGTAATGCCATTACCTTTGGCTTCCTGTGATTTAGTTCAGAGCTATTCTAGATTTTGACTTTATCATACCTTAAATTGGGACCTTAAAAAAGCATGGAGCATTGTACATTTGAATACATGCTTATGGCTTTGCGTAAAGCACCTTGAGTAAAACCCTTGATAGTGGTTAAAGAACCCACATTTAATGATCAGAACCTCTGAACTACTGTATTGATACCATTAGCCCTAGACTGACAGTGCAACTGATACCAGACCTCTGTGTGTCACTTAGGCAGACATCAGCTGCTGTGGGCATATTTTTCTAAACTCTTAAAATATTTATATTTTAATGATTTAACCACTTCAGAAAAAGCTGTAGTGAATTATACTTGCAGTGTCCATCTTGCTATCTCAAATGCAACTTTTTGTCTCAGAAAAGATTTCAGTAATAACAAATTTTTAAATAGTATAAATATATTTATTTTTAAGGCAAATTACAATATTCTAGTTGTAGAATAGTTGGTCCAAAGTATAATAAATTCATCTGGAAGATAAAAATAATGTGTTGAAAGAACTGAAGCAGTTAAGGAATGGAAAAGAATACTCCCGACTTTTTTTTCATTGAGCATGTTAAAATATGCTTTTTAAGTGTAAATGCTTTATATGAGGAAAGGTTAATTCATGTATGTCTCTAATACAGAAGTTATGCTACTCAGGTTAGATTGTAGAAAAAATTCTTTAATATGGGGATGGTAAGGTCTGGCACAGGTTGCCCAGAGAAGTTGTGGTTGCCCCAGCGCTGGAAGAATCCAAGGTCAGGTTGGATGGGGCTAGGAGCAGCCTGGAATAGTGGAAGGTGAAGATCTTGAAGTTCCCTTCCAACCCAAGCCTTTCTATGATTATCAGCTTTCTAATTAGTGTAATAAATTCTATGATTATCTCTAGGGTTGTGTTTGATGTATTACTGTATAGTATAGTATCATTTAAACTCAGGAAAAACTCCCCATGAAAACAGCTGGAATATAGTTTTTTTTTCCTTTACATTCAGTTACCTTGAAATCTTTAATAACCAGAATGGCAACGTAATAACTGTGTTGTCAGGTGTTCATGTATATACTGCAACTCAGAATATTCTGTGATAGAAAAAGAATAATTTTACACAGATTGATTAAAAAAAAAGAATTTTTTTTTTCTAACATAAGTTTTTACAGGCTTCTGGAGAAATTAAAGATTTTAATACCTAGGCAGGGCCCAGGGGTACACAATGTTCAGTTCAGTTGTGTTTGGTGCACAGCAAGCAGAGGAGGCTGAGGCAGCACTGATCAAGGAGCTGCAGTTGAAGGAAAGTTTCAGAAATCCTCTGTTTTGTCCAACTGACATTCCTTAAAACAGTCTGCATAAGTCAGTCCTACTGCTCTTGTGAAAAGGGACTGATCCAAACTCCTGCCAGTAAAATGTAATGAATCTCATGCTCTAATTCTCTACATACAGTGCTGCTAAAGGCATAATACCCTGTGCAGCCCAGTCTATATTAAAAAAAAAAATGTTGGGTCCTTATATAACTTCTAAGACTGTTTAACCTTACAATAACTAGAATAGGTATTAATAAAAGATGAGGGAAAATGGATGATTGGGGCTGGCAACTGCTTTACCAAAGTTATTTCTTCCTCTCCTCTTCAGATTATGATCATGGGGTAGGTAAATTGATGAATTTTTAGGATTTTTTTTTTTTTTTGAAATATGGGTCCTGTTTGTTGCAACATAGTTTGACCATGAAGTGAAGTTTAGTTTAGAGCCATTTTCAGTTCAGCGTAAGAAGCTGTAAATATTCTGTTATGAAAGAACCAACCCACCCCATGCCAAAATTTTCACCAGCCGTTAGATGAGGACAAATAATCAGAACCGTTTAGAAACATTGATCACATTGAAATAACTCCTCTTGAAGTTTTAATTGAAAAATTGCATAAATGTTTCTCTGTTTGATTAGAATCAAGTACTGTAAAAGACTAAAGCTGTAATGCTGGCATGCTGAACATGTAAAGCAATTCTGTTTCTTCTACAAATGTTTCTTTTTCCTGCTTTGTGAAATAATTTTTTTGTTCAGAATCTTTTTCTAGACATTCCTCTCCTTGACTTTTCTTTCCAGATTTTGTTTCCTATCCTGTTTGCCATGTTTCCCTTCTTACGTGTCAGGAAATTACCCTACCCTTCTCCATTTTGGTAAGATAACAATCTCTAAGGAAATCCGAATGCTTTATTCCATACACATCCTCTTCCTAACATCGTGAACGTGGGTTTCAGTTGCAATTATTGGTACTAAAATTTTGGGGTTTCTATTAAAAATGCACTTTTTTTTTGTTTGAATGCCTGTTTTCCTTAGCTGTTAAAGAAGTTACTTTAAGTAGGCTTTTTCTTTAGGAACTGGTGGGGACTAAAAGTAAAATAATATAGTTGAGCTGCTGATAAACCAAACTTTGTGTTTGTTTGTAGTGAAATATGATCAGTACCTTTAGTACATCTGGTGTATGTAGGTTGAATGGCTTTATCATTCTGTACACACAAAGAACACAGTTGTGAAGCTTCTGGGCACTTAAATATTTTATAGCTTATAGCTGTGCCCTGAATTTCTGGGGGGAAATCTCAGCAAGATGAGTAATATGAGAAAGGATGGCATCTTTTTACTCCACAGATTAATGTGAGTTCTTATTTTCTAAAATATTGGATGCATTTCACTTGTATCATGGGTATTTAAACCCCAGCCATGTGAGATGGTGGAACCATGATTTCTTCAGCCACCTTTCAGCTTTGCTTCTTTTTGTGAAGGCTTTTTAAGACAAGCTGCTATGAATACACTTGAAACATTCACAAATCTTAACAAAGCCTCTCATTATTTGTGCCTATTAAAGCTCCTAACAGCTCTGTGGTAGATCTGTGGTAAGCTTGTAGAAGAAACATTTCTAATAGTCCATGCTATGTAACTTTAGGCTTAGTTCATCTTCTTAGAAAGGTGCTCTTGCTCAGTCAGAAACTCCTTTTTTTGACCCAGATTATCACCAGATGTGTGGTATTGCTCTTTTGGCACTATGATGGGATTTCCTTTAACAATTGCTGACAGGCTGGCTGTAAGAGTCCTATTTGATAAATCATTTTATTGATTGACATGGGTGTAGACTGTGAACTTTCAATGGATTTCATCAGTAAACCCCCTAAGCCCACAGTAAAACCAATCAGCCTACCACCACCACCACCAAAAAGCCCAAGCCCCAATCTCCACCAACCTGTGTTTTAATTTCTTCCCTATACCAAAGCAATAAATTGGAAAAGTAAAAACAAAAATTCAAGTAGAGGCAGAATTCCCTCTGACTGGAATCTCCTGGCAAAATCTTAGCGTTGAACAATTCTCTCAGGTGTAACAAATTCCTTTAGAAGATGTTAGAAATGTGGAAAAAGTCCTTGGCTTTTGTATCATCCCACTATCTATATTTAAATAGTACACAGTTCAGGACTCTAGCAGTCTTCAAGCCTTGTCAAATAATGTGATTTTTTTTTCAAACTTACGTTTAATATGCCTGATGTTTACTGTTCATGGGACAGGACTGGCATTACAATCATAATAGCAACTAAATTTATAATTCTTGCTTAAATTTCTTGCAAAATGATTTGTCATTTCTGTAGAATGACAAAAGAAGGATCATTTAAAGTCAGAAATTAGTGAGATGAGGGGAAAAAGACATAAAAGTTTTTCTTGTTACCTTTTTAATGATAACTACCTAACATAAATCCTAATTTGCCCTTTGGCAGCCTGGTCTAGGGGAAGGTGTCCCTGCCCATGGCAGGGGCTCGAACCAGGGGGATCTTTAAGGTCCCTTCCAGCCCAAACCCCTTTGTGATTCTGACAGCTTTGTACTCTGGGATTACTGAGAATTGATTAAAGACCATGCAATGACTCCGTGGTCACTGTTGCTTGCAGTGTATTAAAGGAAATATTTTATTGGCACAGACTGGAACAGAAGTCCCTTTTCATTTATTTCTCCCTCATCCTCTTTTCCGTCAGCTGCTTGCCATTCATCACTCTTCTGTTTCTTCTTTCTTTTTTTTTCTCCCCTGCTTGTTTCACTGCAGGTGTGATTGCATGCTTACACAAGACTTTCTTGACATTCTCTTGAATAGAAGTAAAAAGCAGCAAAACTGATTGATAACCATGCTATAAAGGAATGGGTGATGAAGTAGGTCTGGTCAGGGCTGTCCAAAGGAGCTGAATGTTCTAAGGCCTTCAAGGATATTAATGCAGAGAACACATTAAAATCAATTAAAACATTCAGTGGAAAACTTAGTACCTACTTAGTACCTAAAGGTAGAAAATAACTTTGACAACGTGCGAGTAAAATTTGGGTTAATCAGATGATTTTAAGACATCCAGACACTGAAGGAGTATGAATGGTCTGTCTCAGTGTACCCAAGGCTTTTTTCTTATTTGACCTTTAATGGGAATGCAGGAAAAGACATATCATAGGTTCTATTTGCTAAATCATAATGTCAAGTAAGAATCAGAGGTCATGAAAAAAATCAAACCCAAAGTCTTGAATGTTGTTTATGGTGCCTGTAGTAAATACTGTGTGGTATTTAAGTTACCCTATAGACTTTAGTCTGTAAACTAAGTCATGTATTTGGGTTGTAAATGATACATAATAACTGTAATCTTATGTCAATGCTTAAATAAAAACCACCACTCAATCTCAAAAAACATCTGTTGCCACGTAAGTATATTTATTTTTGTGGAGAAAAGGCCAAGTCCTGTTGTTACTTAAGTGAAATACCTATGTTACTAAGACTAGTCGTGGTCAGTTCTTCTATTATCAACTTTTTTCCTGAAGTTGCCTGTTCCCAGAGGATGTAAAGCATTTCTGCTGATCTGACAGAGTTTTCCTAGAGGTGTGAGCATAAAAAGCCTAATGAGCAAAGAGATCTGTGTGGTTGAATAAAGTACAAGAGAGGTGTTTTGAAGTGTTTTATTAAAGTCTTTATGAAGTTGTGTATTATCTTTAGCTACTGAACATGAAAAAAACTACCCTGCACAGACGTAGGTGCAGTTAATGTCTTGTTAACTTTCCCCAATGTGTGGAGTACACCAGTATGTAATTTACCATTTTGCTTTTATTTTTGTCTTAGTCACTAAACTTGCATTTTCATGCTTTTCATGTGATAAGAAGTCAAGTTCAGTGACAAGAAAATATACTCTCAAGTAGTTGAATATGGCAGTTCTTAGAAAAAGTAATAAGCATATTTTCTGCAGATGCTGCCATGTTGCTAGAGCATTTCTTCTGTTCACACAGATTAACTTGAATTTAAGTCCTAGTTGAATTAACTCTTATCTTTTTTCAAGGGAGAAAATAGAGTTTTCCAGATATGTCAAAGTCATGCAGTTGTTTCAGATACCTCATGTGTTGTATATGCTGAAAATCCTCAAAACAACAAGAATTCTGATAATTTTTTTTGGTGTTTTAAGTAAACAAAAAAGTGATAAAAAGAACACAGCAAAACTTTCTGGTCTTGATGGTGGTCTCTGTTTTCCTCTTTTTGTAGATCTGTTAAGCTTTGATGATGTCATAGCTACCTCAGATAATCTGTCACACCCGACTGCGAACCGGCCCAAGATGCCTGGTAGGAGGCTGCCTTCCCGTTTCAATAGCAGTAGTCCTGTGAGTATTTTGGGGGTGTTCTCCTAGTAGGGAACTAAAAACTGGCTTCCCAGGAAACAGGACTACATTGGGGAACAGTCTTTTGAGCCATTTACCTGAAGGGCAAAATGCTGCAGGGGTTCAGTTCCTGTAGGTTTTGTGTGCAGGGAGATCCATTCCCAGAAGGGAAGTGAATGTAAGAGAAACAACTGGAACTGTGTTGCAGCTGAAGGAGTGTTATTGTTCCATGGGGTTTTGCTGCAGGAAATGCTCAGCTCTTCTGGCCTCACTGATGGTGCAATAGGTGTACATACGCACAGCTCTGAAACTATCTGTAGTGACTTTGACAATTGGCCACTATAAATTTGTAATTTAATGCTGCTGTAACGTGAGGGTTGTGATCTTAGTGGTGATGTGAGGTTGGCAGATAATGAGAAGCAGGTGGTGCAGAGTCCTTGAAATCAGTTTTTCTCACTGGATATGTTGCATAGTTATGCCAGTTACCATCTATAGTTACTGCCCATTTGTGTTTTGTGGAAGCACCTACAGGCTCCCAGAAGTGTCACAGACTTAAGGATTGCAAATATGCTTGAAAATCCTGCCCAAGATTCCTGTGTTTAAGTTCAGCTCATTGTGGGGAAGGAAAGTTCTGACTGTCAGGGATAGAAAAGTTTGATAGTGTAGCAATTTAACTTTTGTTACTTGGTTTTCCCCTTTACTATTTCATTTTTAGAAACACATGAAAGTCTATTTTTTTTAATTTACTTTTAATCTTTGTTGTTTTTAATTCTGAAAACTTTTTCATTCCTTATGAATGGTTTACCAGGCAAGTTACAATGTGGGTCCAGAAAAAATTTTGAAGGTGCAGAAAGAAGAAGAAAGTGCCAAACCAAAGCCAGTTGAAACAAAGAAGGTATGATGCTACCAAGGAGCCCGAGGAGTACCAGGCAGCTTGGTGTTCTGTTCATCCTGTTTGCATTTCCAGTACAGGTTCATGAAACCATCTGAATGCCAGTGCTTGTAGTTGAGTGCAAGTGAGCTCAGTCATTTAGTATAAAGTTCATAGTAAGAAATTTAGTATTGAAGTTCATTTATACTTACAAAGTGCATGAGTTCTGGTGAGAGCTGCTGTATCAGGTGGTATTTCCCAAATAAGTTCCATATCTGCTCTGCCTTCAGTCTCCTGACAGACAGAATAACTGAGCAGATCAGCAGAGTGCACAAAAGTTGGTGTGTAATGATCCAGTGGAATCCATTAAATCACTTTTTTTTAAAGTGAAGAGGACTGAAGTGTAAGTACTTTCTTTAGTGACTACAGGACTCTCAGGTAAATCCTTAATTAAGAGCTGTATTGAGTAACTATCTCATATACTCCAGTAATCCATTCAAACTGGACTTTTTTTTTTACCTTTTAGGTAGAAAATTAAGGGAATTTATGCACATTTACCTCCCATCCTGGTACAACCTGTAGGCATTCAGTTTATAAAGATTTCACTTCTTACCTTTCTGCCAATTTATTTTTTAGCCATCTGCATTCAGCCCACTGATTCCACCTTCATCTCAGAGACCAAGCTCTGTCATACTCGACTTTTTACCTGGAGACCTCCAACTGAAAGGAGAAACACATGAGGAAAAAACTTCTGTGGAAGAGCTCAGGACTCAGATTAATGAATTAATGGGTTTAGTAGATGCCCTGAAGAAAGAGCATGGGTAAATATTTCCTTTGTCAGTCTGCAAGGGGTTATATAGACATCTTATAAATGTCTTCAATGCCAGACTTTAAAATGAGAGCTATTTTATGCTAATAACATATTAATACATAAATTCAGGTCTTTTCTATTTAAATTAATCTTACTAAATGTCCTGAATACATGCAAATTTGATGTCTGAGTATTTTTGGAATTTGTACATATTTTTTCCTTCCTACTTGGCACTCCTGCATCCATTACATCTTTTTGAAAGTATTTATTGAACAGTTTGTGCTTTCTTTGTAAGGAAAAGTAGTTAATTTTCTGTAGTAATGACATAAATACATGGTGCAGGCCTTGTGTAACACTGTGCACAAGTACTTGCAGTATTGACATGACTTATATTTTAATTTATTCTCTGTGTAGAAGTAGCCATGTTATTTTAGGTTATTTTAGCTTGAATTAAACTTTAAATATTAAATAACAGCACAAACATTTAAGTAGCCTCTTAAAATTGGGATTAAGAATTTGGGATAGGTGAATAGCAGTAGGTAAGAAGTGTTGAGTGATGGCGGAAATTTGTGGTCCAACAGATGTGAGTAGGAATTCACTGGTGGGCATGTGCCTTGTTTTGTGAATCCCATTTGTAAAATGCAAACAAGGCCTCTGCATCCTGTCCTCAGTAATGTGAAGTTTCTTTTTCCCCCTTCTCAATTCTGTTTCTATCTCAACTACTTTTAGGAGAGAACTGGAAAAACTAAAGAAGGATTTGGAAGAAGAGAAGCTGTTGCGAAGCAATCTGGAGGTAATGTTACCACTCTGGGAGGGCATGGGGAGTTCAGGGCTGTGTAGACTTTGTTCTGGGATTTGATGCCACAGGAAAGTCTTGACAAACCTGCTCAGTCTCTTTTTGTTTTGCTGTTTTATTTTGTGATTGAATGAATGCCTCATGAGGCATTTGGATGTATAGAGAAGATCCAAGTTCAGCTTTCTTTTTCTGGAATATTATTTGTAACAATCAGTGTAGGGGTTGGGGTGGCCGTTCCGTTTAGTGCTGTTGGGTTCTGCTCTTTTCTAGAAATATGTCCAACTGGACAACTTCCAGGAGACACAGTTAATACTTTGCATTTATAAGATTGAAAGACCTATTTAATTTAAGAAATCAAAAGAAAAACAAAAGTCAACTTCTCTGAATTTTGATTAATTGTTTAAATATTAAGTATGGATGATTTGCCAAAAGAACAGAATGCATCTGAAAAAATTCCTGATGAATGAATGCCAATCCTCAATTTACTGATGAAGAGCACTACCTACAGTGCAATATGATGCCATTAGGTAGTTAATAGGATGAGCTCATTCTAGGAAATTAGTTCAGTGTGGTACTGAAAAGGGGCATTTTACTTGTGAAATGGTACATCTTGCTGGCTACAAAGCTACTTGAAACACATGAGAGAAACTTCTGGTGAGTCTCTCTCTAATGCGACTCTAAAGCAATCAGTGAAGGTGCCTTAAATACGCAGTAGAGATGAAGAGGATGTAACTCCAGGTGTCCTCTAAGTCCATGTCAAGAAATACAAATTAATCCTGGCAGTGTTCTGCATGAAAGGCTGTTCTAGGAAGCTGCTCTCAGGTGATGGTGCAGCATTACATGGGGACCTGTCAGGTGATTGCATAACCCAGCTTTGACTTATTTTTTCAGAGAGAGTTTATCCAGATAAACTGATTAATCAATAAGATTTTTTTTTAATTTTAAAAATATTATACCTGTACTGTAGTCAAATTTTAAATTATTTTAAATTCCTGTTCTTTTAGCAATATAGTGGTACAAAATCAGCTTTAAATACTGTACTGTTAAATGCTTCTATGGTGTAATACCTAAGTGTCTTTGAAATGTAAAGCTTATAATTTTGGTGGGAGCTCTGAAGATTTTATAGCTACTTTAATAATGACTTCGTTTTCAAAATGTTTGTTTTTTCAGCTTGAAATAGAAAAATTGAAGAAAGCAGTGATGTCTACATGAGACAGCTATGGACTCAATGTTTTTAACTCGCCAGGAATTCAAAGCTGAACACAAGGAGAACTGACTCTTATTTCATTATAATGGATGCTCTGGTGTTCTACAGTCTTAAAGAAAAAATATAATAAAAAAAAAGGAATATAGTCTTATATTCAGAGAGATAAGAAAACAAAAAAGAATAATGGTGTAATTTTTTTGCCAATATAAAAGAGGCCTTATTTCTTACTGTGCTGGAATTGCAGACCTTATTTTTTTGGTTTGCTTGAAAATACTACTGAATCTGTATAGAGAGGAGAGGGAATTCTTAATAGATTTTTATTGAATACCTGTAGCTTAATTTTTAAAGAGATCTATACTATAAATAGGGTGATCTGTCTTTGCAACTAATCTGTAAAATAGTCTGTTGGAAGGGATGGAATGACTGTGTTGTAATTGTAGTCACTGCTTTTGCCCTACATGCAAAAGGGAATATATAATATTTGTATAATTTTGGCAGTCTTACCCAGGGTTATGCTGTTGTGCCTGTCTGCAGTGAGAATACTCAACCTTTGAACAGCATAGTATGAATAATGAGATAGGAATTTGTTAGTGCAATGAAGCAAGTGAAACTCCTATGCATTGTAGAAAGATTGAATGATCTAATTCCAGTAGCTCAGCAGAACGGTTTGTCACTTGCACTATTGGATTAAAAAGGGATTTAGGACTTAATTGTGAAATCATGACAAAATTAACTGTTAAACCACAAAATGCAAGGAATACAGAAACAGCGAGAGTCCAGCTTCAACTCAACCTGTTGTGCCTAAAATATTACAGTGTAGAGCATGAAAGAGTAAACCTTAAGTCACAGCATCTATACTTCTGTGTTTCTGAAGTCATCAGTCTTTCTAGTGGTTCAAGTATGCATCTTGATTTGTTTTTACAGTAGTCAGGTTTTGTTTATAATATATCTCCAAATAAATCCCTTTGGAACTTTGATACTCTCAAAAGCTCTCAATATTTATATATTTATGCCATAAACTTTCTCAGTATATTGCGTACCTCTAAACTTAGTAACATCTTTGTATTTTAATAAGTGATTGGAACAATTGCTTTGATATCATTGTGCTGGTGTCCAAGATGGTGTCTTTACTTCATGGAATAGAGGTTGAGATTTTGTGGATTACCATTATCTTTAACCCCTGGGCTCAAAACTTGCACCAGAATAATACACAAATATGCAAAGTGATTGGAGACAATGGTATTTATTGCCGTGTTTGTCTGATTAAAGAATTAAAAATATACAGCTTTAGAAAGCCAGTCAAATTCATTAGTTCTGTTAATCAGCTCATCTCCTTTAGGTCTGCTATAATTTAAAAGACAAAAACATGCCTCATAGTTTGGCAGCTTCAGCAATAAAAGAAAGTAATTCAGCTTCTCTTCATGGGAGTAGTCATAAATATAGTAATTATTCAGTATGTCACTGTTCAAGTGACATGGAAGTGTTACTTCTTGAGAGTAATCCCACACTATGGGATTCTTCCACAGTCGTAAAATCCAAATATCAAAAGGTTAATTGGGGAATGTTTGTCCATTACTGATTCAAATAGTTAATGAAATCTCATTGAAACCTGATCAATACACTATGCAGGTATGGAGTAATATTTGCTAGTCAAATTGGTAGTAAGCTGATTCACTCTCAATGCTTTTAACCTTGAATTGCTCAAGTGCATCACAAATGAGTTGTGAGGAATCATGTGCTGTCATCAGACACTAAACTCTTGCCTGGAATTCATGCCTGTAGAGCAGGTGATGGAAAACAAGAATTGAGCCTAATGGAGGACCCAGTTTTGTTATACAAGCTCTTCACTGTGATTGGAGCATGAAACAAATTGGAAGGGGTTGCTCTGCAGAAATTGTGCCTGTGTGTGAGCTTGCAGAGGATGAACAGAACAAGACAATCAGCTAAAGCCACAAATGAGAGGTGTTTGTTATATAATGGCCTTTGTTTGCTATAGCAATAAATGACCCAAGTGCAATGACTTGATTTAATAAACCTTCCTTTAAAAGTCGCTGCTATGAGTATTTGTAGCCATAAGGAAGTTGCCCTGATGTGTGTCTGTCTTGTCTTCAGCTAGTGTTACATACTGGAGTGGAGGGGGAGAGGGTAATGGTTTTGAGACATTCCACAGTACAAGTTCCTAAGAGCAGTGCGCTTCACTGACTTGTCTACTGGTGCTGTAAAATGATGCATGCTATCCAACTCAGCAAATAAAATGAGTATAAAAACCTCATCAGGCATCTGCTCAATTCTGTTCAGGATTGTTTTGTATGCCCTTAAATTCTTTCCATGGAGGAGTGTAGGGGGTGGAAGCAAAGTATTTATAACAGATCCCTTTCAAGTTTTCAGATTTCCATTACCTCACTGGGATGCTCTGGCTTCTGATTATCAGGGTGGCTTAGGATCCTCACAGTTGGAAAGCTCTGTTTTCCTTTGCAAATGTAACTGGGCATTTTTAACTTTTCAGGATCTATTGATTCTCCCCATTTTTCCCTCTTGGCCAGTATTGAGCTGACCTTACTGTGCATCTTCAGAGGCTTTATTTAAGATCCCTATTACCAGTCAGTAACATGGATAAATGCATGTTTGAATCCCTACTTAAGTATATAGTGAAGAATTGAAAACTGAGGGTATGGCATGTTTAATAGGGATATGGAAGAGGGAAAAGACGCATAAAGAATGAAACAGCAGAAGGGCATTTTTAAACTGCCAGGTTTTCATTTAATCTTAAGATTTTCTAAAAACCTTTTGGTAGTACAGAAGGTATAGTTTTAAAAAGCAAAATTACAGGTGTACTTACTTGATTTTCTTCCACAAAGATGATTTTTTTTCATTAGTATTCATGGAAGTGAATTTCTGATGGAAACCTGTGATTATTGCAAGGTTTGAATTGTATAGCAAAGTATCTGTTGAACTTTTAAATACATACCCTGTATTCATTAAGATAGCACAAGTCTGTTGTTACCTCTTTCCAAAGGAAATGGTAAACCCAGGTTCACACAGCTGCCTTTTGGCTGCTCTAAAAGTTACCTGAGATGTTTCTGATCTCTGAGAAAGCAGCTGATGAGCACAGCTGGTTGCAGATCTTGGGTAATTGGATTTTGCAAGAGCTGAGAAGACAAACCCCTCCCTGCATGTGCCTGAGGAATGCAAACAACCCCAACCAGCTTGTAAAGCATCAGACTGATGCTGCTGGGGTCAGGGTTTGGAGTGCCTCTTTGCTGGGAGTCATGGTTTCAGTCTCTTTCCAGGCCCCCTGGGAGCCCAGGTTGACCCAGCTTCCTTCTGGGAGAAGTGTGTGGGTGTCTGAGGGCTGCAGGATGCTGAGCTTTGTGTCCTTCAGAGAAGCCTTGATGTTGAGGAGGTGTTGAGAATCAAGGGCCATTCAGTTTTGCCATCACAGTAAAGGTGCAGGGAGTGTGTAGAAGCACAGTTCCAAGACATGGGCAAGAAGCCTTCTGAAACCTCTCCATACCTTGACATGATTTGGTTTTTAGCCTTTCTTACTTTAAAGTATTTTTCTAATTGATCTCTGTATTGTATCAAGTACAAGTAATTTCGCCTTCCCAGGTGGGTTCTGTTGGCTGTGCTTCATTGTGCCTGGCTAAATTCCTACTGGATCCTGATGTGAGGCTGGCTGTATCAAAGCAGAACAGTAAATAATACCTGTCTTTAGGTTAAAACTGGAGACATGCCTGTGACTGAGGGTGGCTGGAGTTGTGACAGCAGACAAAATGACAGGAAACCCCATAAGCTCCTGATGAACACATTGCAGGAATGTAGGAAAAAAAATCAGTGACCAGAGATCTTCCAAATCAGTTCTGTTTGAAGGAGTGTTAGGAACTGCTCTTCTGTAGTGATAAACTACTTGCTGTACATTTCTGACTATTGGAAATCTGGCTCTTGGAGGTGAGGTGATATTTCAAGAGCCAGCAGTGACCATGGCACAAGGTTCAGCTGATAACTGTCACCCTTTATGATGGGATAGCCCTGAAAAAAAGGTTATTATTTGCCCATTGAGGTTTTTAGCTGCACCAGGTGCTGTCAGTACTGTGCTCTTGCATTTATGAATGATAATACATTAACTTGACCAGATTTTGATCATTAGTGTTTTGAAGTCTTTAAGAGATTGTTGTTCAGGGAAGTTGTAGATGTCCCATCCCTGGAGCTGTTCATGAACAGGTTGGAGGGGGCTGGAACTGGGAGAGTGGAGGGTGTTCCTGTCCATGGCAGGGGGTTGGAACTGGATGGTCTTTAAGGTCCCTTCCAACCCAAACCATTCCTTGAATCTATGAAATACAGGAGAGCAGAGCTGCCTCCTGCACCCAGAGGAAAGGCACCAACCCCACAGGTGTGACTCATCCCTGTGGACTCCTGGCAGAGGTGGCAATCTGGCAGATTTGTAAGGTGTTTTGTCATTTTGCAGTGCAATACCTTCATCTGCAGGTTCCTCAGCCTTAATCCAGTCAGGCAAGAAAAGAAGCAGCTGCTGCCCAACATTATTTCTTCATGGGAAAACTCCAAATGAGTCGGAGCACCCAGGCAGGGCTGGGTGAGACTGGGGCAGGATGGCAGCAGATGAGTGGTTAGAGAGTCACGTCTGAGACCTTGGGGATCCCTGGCTGGGTTAACTTGGCTCACAGTATTCCCCAGACTTCTGAAAACAGTGAGTATTTCCACAGAAAATAAGAGCTGCTCATTAGAGCTGCTGGAGAATTACCAGTGGTCTGTGAAATTGGCTCATTCATAATCTAAAATGCATTTAATTGCTAAGGCTGTCTTTGCACTTCTTTCCTTAGTTTTATGTTGTCTTTATATCTGTGAAAATAACTAGATATTTTAATTAACCTCTGGTGTTTTTTTTTTTTCTTGTAGTTTTGTAAGTGGTCTCTAATCAGTGTTATCATTTTTAAGAAAATTTGGTTTTCTTATGGCTACATATAAAGATTACTATCCTCTTAGAACTTGCTTCACTTAAAGCTACACTTTCCAAATATGTTTCCTTTGAAAATACAACTGACAGTGTTCTGAAGAATTAAGAGCTTTACTTTTTATTCTTGGATGACCATGTGAACACTAAAGCCTCCTGCTGCAGCATTAACTTGCTTGATAGCAATGGCAGGTTATCATGTTATGGTGGTTTATTGAGTTTTAAGCAAGCCATGTGGCCATTCAAGCCCTAAAACCAATAGATTAGGTTCTGTAATAACAGGTTTAATAATTCTGATAAATGTTGAAGTTACGAGTTTGTAGTGTTTGGAAAAATATATTTCTCTAGCAAATTATTGCAAAGTCAGTATAAATCTTAATTTTATAAAAAGTGTGCTTGTAATTTTTTTGTGCAGGACACCTTTCCCTGTAAATTTAGCTGTAGTTTGTTTTCTGGAGCAGTGGACAGGGGAGAGAGGTGACTCCAGATGATGAAGGACCTTTTGGATGGAGACTTTGGGTCCAGCACTGGGCAGGGTGTAACTCCCACAGTTGTCATTGTTTGGACAGATCCCTCTGTTTGTGTCCATGTGGGGCCAGACTGCTGTGCAGTGCATCCTGCCAGTAATTAAAATCTGCATCAATATGTTTGGGGTAGAGGAAAGGAAGATAGTTCTATAGACTTTTACAAGATACTTCAATTTTACACCAACAGGGGTCAGAGTAAGGGATTTGAACATAAGGCTGTGGGCATTAACCAACATAGGGATTACTTTTTAAATCCATGATTGGTTTTGGGGGTTTTTTTGCTGTTTTAAGAGACTCTTTGCTCTCTTGTAGCCACTGCCCATCCAGTCTCTCCTTGCTCTTTCCCTTCTGTGGAGGGCTTTGGAATGAACTGGAGAAGGAGGATTTCTGGTGACAATCTCCTGAGCTGGGTGTGGAAGTGTCCCCTTACTAGAAAGTCCTTTTCACATGGGAGGGTATTGATACCTCAGCTGCTCATGTACCTGTGTCCTGGTACATGGTTGGAGCAGAAACCTCTGGAACAGAGGAGTATCATGCTTACAGCTTCTTACAAAGGCAGGGATTATTGGCAGTAGATAGTTTATGATAAGAGACAAATCATCGTCTCTGTTTGTGCTTTCATGTGGCCCAGTGCCACTATTCCCATGTTTTTCCCTAAAGTAACAGTGAGTTGCTGCTGTCTTGCTTGTTTTGCCCTGAGTTTCTCCAGCTGCACAGTGGTTGCCTTGGCAGGCTGCTGCAGTGCTGGGACTGGGTGGTTTCCAGGATGAGTCAAACAATGCAGCCGAGCGAGCTCCGTGTTCCACTGCTGGCAGGGGCCGGTGTCTCGGTGAGCCCGGCATTCTTGGAGATGTCCCAGATTTCTGCCTCACTCAGAGGTAACAGCCCTAGGTGGGGTTCCACCCGTGATTAAATACAAAATGAATGTGAATTAATTAGTGGTGAGGCACGATGGGCTCAAGGATTCCGAGCCGTGAAATGGAATTGGCAATAAGCATTTAATGACTGCAGAAATCAGAAAGGAATTCAGTGCAGCCTTTCACCCCAAACCTGTAGGTGTTTCCCAGCCACCTCCCCTTCTTTGGCAATATTGATCCCAATATTCTGCTTTGTTTTGCCTGATCCATTTTATTTCCTCAGAAGAGCTGGTGGCTGCTAGTTTTTAACCCAGAAAATGCTTTTCATATTAACAGCTGAATTCAGAGGCTGGCATGAGATTCTCCTTAAGTGCTACCTAAGAAATTCAGTGCATTAGTTGAACTCTCTTATGGTAATTTCATAATTAGGTCATAAACCCTAAAAATCTGAAATCATAACATGGTGGACAAACATCAGAGATGAAAGGGGCAGCCAGTTGTGTGCCTGGGCCTTTGATGCTGTCAGGTGGGAGAGCCTGGAGCCTCTGGATGGGAAAACACATCTCTGCTCTCCCAGTGCAGGACCCCTTCTGCTTCTGATCAGCATCATCTGTGCTGATCAGTATGTGTCATGGGGAAAATTGAGGGGCTCCTCTCAAGGCATGGTAATTTGATGAGGTTTTTCATGTTGCCTTCTCTTGAGATCAAGCTGTCATCCTGTTTTGTCCCAGTTCTTGCTTTAGTGGTTTAGCTTACTAACTTCTATGTATTTTATTTTTGATTATTTTTTAAATTAAATTTTTCTACTTTTCCTTGTGGTGATAGAAGATCAGTGTCTCAGTTCTTCTGAGCCCACAGCAGCTGTTGTTTTTGCCTTGGACATGTCTAGCATCTAATAATGAGATTTGATGTATCATGTTGTTTTTCCTTCATTCCCTTTGCTGGGTTATTTTTCTCTAACAAATATTCTTGTAACAAGTTGCATCCCAGGATGTTTAGCTTTTATTAAGGACTGTTGTAAATTTCATGGAGGGAATAGAGGTCTGAATTCTTCTGCAAAGGAAATAACTCTTCACTCTGGCCCTTGTTTAACACAGTTTGATTTCTGGGCCCTGAGTGCCCATGTTTCCTACTGACATGGCAGGAGCTGCCCAAGGAGAGCAGAGCATTGAACCCAGTGGAGATGAGACTCTCTTAAACCACTTCAGAAGGGACCCACAGGCTGAGAGGCTTTAATAAGCTCTCCAGGTTGCAGTTTACAGCATTGAACAGATTTCTTTCTCCTTTTTTTTTTTTTTTTTTAAGAAAGGGTCCACAAGTCATTCTCAGTAAAGATAATGAATTATGAATGCCTGAAAATGACCTTGCAAGCCCAGTAAGGACAGTCTCTGGCATAGGTTTAGCTGCTTTTTTACTAGTAATAATAAAACTGTGTTCAAAAAGTGGAACCAGAGATGTCTAAACTTCTTTAACATCTTTAATCCAGAAAGAAATCAGCAAATGAGTGGTGATGGATGTGAGGGTGATCTACTGCCTACTCTTTTGGGCTGCGCACTTCTTCCTGGCCATGCCATACACCACTCCCAGGGTAAGTATCATTTGACCAGGCTGTTCAAATCCTCATCAAGTGACCTTGAACACTTCCAGGGATGGGGCAGTCACAGCATATTCCAGTGTCTCACCACCCTCATCATAAACAACTTCCTCATCTGAGATCTGTGCATGAGCTCAGAGTGTCACTTCAGTAGCAGGGTCCAGCTGAAGGTTTCATGTATAGAGGCAGACTTTAAGTAGAGAATTCTCAGTTGGTCTGTATGAGCAAAGGGCCACAGGCTCTGCATTCTGGATCTCAAAAGGACTATTTTCCTCTTGAAACCCTTTCTGGTTTGTACCAAGGAGTCATCTTTTACTTATGTATGTGAACATTCACTCTATGTTCCACTTCTTATTTTTCAGGTTCTCGGTAATGAATCAAAGACTGGTTATGAGCAAGGTACAGTGCCCTGGGTAATGCTTTGTGAGATGTTTGTGAGCCCATCTTTGTGAGATGTTATCAGTTATCAATACTTCACACCCCTGATGCATCACAGACCATGGTATGCTGTCTTTCACCATGTAACAGTGTCTGCCTGGTTTATTTTCCAGATGCCTGTATAAATCTAATTCCCTGCCAAGATAATGGAGCAATTTGTATTCAGCCTTGCTCTCCCTCCTTCCATGGGGAGACAAGCTTTGTCTGTGAGGACAGAAAGTGGCAGATGCTGTCAGACGCTTGTGCAAGCCTGGATGTTCAGTCCCTTTTTCAGGTGAGGATGCTGTTGTGCACCTTGCCCTGTGCTTGTAACTTCTTGCAAAGACACACCCTTCTTCTATGCACTTTCAGTCTTGAGCAAAAGGAGATGGAATCCTAAAACACAGAATACTTTGATAACAGGCTCTGACTTCATGGAGTCAAAGAACTGTTTAGGTTGGAAAAGGCCTCTAAGATCATTGAGTGAAGCCATTAGTCCAGCAGCACCCTTTCACTGCTGAACCACATCCTCAAGGGCCACCTCCACACCTTTTTTGAGATGTCCAGGAATTGTGATTCCACCACTTTCCTGGGCCGTCTGTTCCAATGCCTGACCACCCTTACACACATTTTTCCTAATATCTAAACCTCTCTTGAGGTGACTGGAGACCATGGCCTCTTGTCCTATCACTTGTTACCTGTGAGAAGGGCTGACCCCCCACCTCACTATTACCTCATTTTAGGTAGTTGTAAAGAGTGATATGGTCCCCCTTGAGCCTCCTTTTTTCCAGGCTGAACATTCCTAGATCCCTCAGCCACTCCTCATCAGTCTTTGCTGTAGTTCTTTCACAATCTTAAATCAGATTATATGAAATAAATTTGGGGGATTCTTTTGTGGAAACATAATTCAGAAATGAAGTTGCCTTGTTCACTTGCCTGGTGTTCCTCACGTGGATCTAAACCAAGACAAGAACACAGTAGGTTGAAACTGCGGAAAGAACAACACTAAAGTGTGTAATGATCAGATGATTTATGACAAATTCTCCTCTGCTGCAAAATCCTTAATCAAGTCACTTCAAGAATAAGACACCGCATTTAGTTCTTGACCCTTCCTTCATGTGTGTAGTAAACCCATGACATTCTTCTAAGTTGAGCTTTGGTCCTGGGTTTCAGTCCATCTGGCACCTTCTCTGCACACCCAGCACTGCATCTCTTGCCTAGTTGTAGCTGTGGCTTCATTTTCATTCTTTTCATTAATTTTCTCAAATCTTTTTCCTCCCTCTAGAGGATATCCCAAAGTGAACTCCCATGCCATGGAGGACATCTTCCTGTTTCAGCAGGAGGAAAGCTAGGGCCTGGGAAACTTGGAGATGGGGCAAAACATTTTGGTGCTGGGAATCATAGCTGCCAAGCTGATTTTTCATGCATCATCCCAGATATCCTGTCTTCACCAGCCATCCCAGGAAACATTGCTGATATAGTGGACTTGCTAAAGAAGATTTCCCTGCTGCTATCAGAGAATGTCACTAGAGGAAAAATGCAGGTATTTACTTTTATTTGCTTTGGGAGGTACTTCTGAGCTTTACAGAGCATCCACAAGTATTTTGTCCTTATGGCCACTGTCCAGTGAAGCGGTGGCTGCAGGTCACATGGAGATCACCTGGAAAGAGTTTCCAGAGTGGGATATTTTGTTAGCAAAGAAACTTTTTGACTTATTCATGTGTGATGAAAATAGATTGTGGAGTTAAATGTCTTTAAAAGCAAAGGTTTTCAGGATCTGCTGTTATAGGCATGGGCCAACAGTACAAGGAAGAATTACTTTCTAAAGTATGACACTGTAGGGAAGGCAGCCTTGTACAACAACAGTTGAGATCTTTGCCTGATGAACTCAGAGATCCGAGAGCAGGGGAAGAAATACAGAGAGGGTGGTAAAAATCAGACCTCCATTGTGGGTCAGCATCTGGAATAGAGCTAGGCTGTCCTTTTTGCTTTATATTTACTTCTCTAATCACCTTTTGATTGAGGATATGAAGAGGATGGGACAATTCTAGGAATGAGATGTTTGGGTTTGACTGGGATGGGTCATGGGAACATATTCATTGTCAAAAGGATTATTCCTTTTGTAGAAATCACTCATGAATTAAATGAGCCTTTTTGGAGGCACTGCCAGGAGAATAATATTTAGTTTCTTCTAACACAAAACAATTTCTATTTTGCTTGTTTGTTTCAGAGCTACAGCAGAATAGCAAACCATATTCTGAACAGCTCCATCATTTCCAACTGGGCTTTTGTGAAGGACAGAAATGCTGGTTCAATACTGCTGGACTCGGTGAATTTATTTGCTGGGAAACTTCTTTTAAGGAATGGGTCAGAAAGTATCCAGGAGCCCTTCATCGCTACCAAAGGCTACAGCATACACAGAAACACTTCAGGAAAGAGCTTTGACTTTTCCATGGAGTTGAACAGCACAGGCAATATTACTGGCCACGTGGTGATTCCAGAGCAAGAGCTGCTGAGGTTGCCCAGGGCTTCCAAAGCCATCAGCGTTGCATTTCCAACGCTCGGAGCCATCCTGGAGACGAACCGGCCGGACCCCCCTGTTGTGAACGGGATGGTGCTGTCGGTGTCGCTGCCAGAGGAGCTCCAGAGCGTTTTGCTCACCTTTGAGAAGCTGAACAAGCTGGAGCAGGTGGGGGCTCAGTGCGTGGGGTGGCACTCGGCCGAGCGGCGCTGGGACCCGCGGCCGTGCCAGGTGCGCGCGCACAACGCCAGCGCCGTGGTTTGCGTCTGCGTCCACCGGCGCCGCACCTACGCAGCCTTCTCCATCCTGATGGCCCCAGCCGTGCCACGGAGCTCCCTGCTGGACTACATCACACGGGTGGGCCTGGGGCTGTCCATTCTCAGCCTGGTCCTCTGCCTTGTCATCGAGGCCATGGTGTGGCAGCATGTCACCAAAACTGAAATCACCTACATGCGCCACTTCTGCTTGGTCAACATCGCCGCCTCGCTTCTCGTCGCTGATGTCCTGTTCATCCTGGCAGCCATTGTGCACAATGCAGCCCTGAACTACCAGCTGTGTGTGGCAGCCACTTTTTTCCTTCACTTTTTCTATCTTGCCCTGTTTTTTTGGATGTTTACCCTGGGCCTCTTAATTCTCTATGGATTATTATTAATTTTTTTTAAGATAACAAGATCTGTGTTCTTAGTTGCAGCGTTCTCTATTGGATATGGATGTCCCTTGGTCATATCTGTCCTCACTGTTGCTATTACTGAACCAAAGAATGGGTATTTAAGGAGTGGAGCTTGCTGGCTCAATTGGTACGAGACAAAAGCCCTTTTGGCTTTTGTTGTACCTGCCCTGAGCATCATTGTGATGAATCTCATTGTGGTGGTCGTGGTTGTGGTGAAGACTGGGAGATCCTCCCTTGGAGAAGGCTGCAAGTCACAAGATTTGAGCAGCATGATCCGAGTCAGCAAAAACGTTGCCCTTCTGACACCTCTGCTGGGCCTCACCTGGGGTTTTGGGTTAGCCACAATCATCGACAGCCGCTCTCTGGCCTTCCACGTTGTGTTTGCGCTGCTGAATGCCTTCCAGGTGAGCTCTGGGACACTGGGAGCACTGTGGGTGCTCAGACCTTGAGCCTGGCATAAAGGTATCAGATCAAAGAGGGGCTGCAGCAGGTGTGTGTGAAAAGCAGGATCTCAGCTCTCCCTTCCACCCGGTGCTTTCCCATGGCACACGTACGAAGCATCCCAGGCTGGTGTTCTAGGTGCTGATGGGTCATGGGACAAACTGGTCTGGTTGGAAGTGGGATGAAGAAATAATCCCATGATTAATTTCTGTTAGATGTGAAATACACCAGTTAATGTCCATAACTGCAAAGATGTCTGATCCTTATCAATTAACAATTACTCAGAAAATTCTCCCTTCTGGTGAAGATGACACTGGCGCAGGTTTCCCAGAGAAGCTGTGGATGCCCCATCCCTGGGAATGTTCAAGACCAGGCTGGATGGGTCTCTGAGTAACCTGGGGTAGTGGAAGGTGTTCCTGCCCATGTCAGAGGGTTGGAGTTGGATGTCCTTTAAGGTCAATTCCAACCCATTCCATTCCACAGCTGATTCCATGGTTTTGATTAACTCATCAGCATAAACACCCAGTGTTACCTGATGCACTGCTGCACACCCAGTCTGCCTTAGCTCTTCTTGGATCAGGCTGCTCTGAGGGGACTGAGAAAGTCCTGGTTTGTTACCCATCAGTCCAGTTCATAGTCAGGACTAACACAGGTTATATCCATTCCTGCTGTTCCCAGAGAGCCCTGGGTGGATAAACCCATTTTGTGCTTTGCTGCTAGCTGAATCACAGGTGATTAGATCTCTCCTTAATGAAAAGACATTTAGAAACACTTAAGAAATATCACGTGGTTATGCTGACTTTGCTAACTGGTTTTGCAATTTCTTAGGGATTCTTCATCCTGTTGTTTGGGACACTTCTGGACAGAAAGGTACTTATTTTGGATTATATGAACATTTTCTACACCTTGAGAAACCGGTCCCTTTAATATTATTTATTTAATCTGCAGACAAGAGAAGCATTAAGGATGAACTGCTTTTCATCAAGGCGGAAGTGGGGTCTAGAAAAGGTAAAGGCTATTTATTTTCCTGTTAATGGCTAATTTACAAACCTGATTTTTATGTTGGAAGAATGGAACCATCCACTACATCTTACACCATGTAACATTTTTCAAATGTAAATTCTTGCTGAAGGACATACAGGTATCTCAAAAGTCTGCTCAGGATATTAAGGTTCTAAAGATCAGAAGTGGCAATTGATAGATTTTTGTGACTTTTTCATTACCTACTGCTGTGATTACAAGTTAAAAGTGGTATTTTTAACCAATCTCTTCACCTGCAGATGTCAAAGCCCTTTTGGTAGACAGTCATAGTAACTTTTTTCCTCATATTAGATTTACTTTAAGGTCACTTAATAATGAAGGAACAGAAATAGGAATCAGAAATCCCAATATAATGACCTGTTTGCTGCCTTCACAAAAATATGGATCTGTATGTCAGCAGGGCTGCTTTAGGATGTGAGAGGATCGTTCTGCTTTCATCTGAGGGATGGAAACCACTCAGAGCCCAGCCAATGTCTTTGGTGCTAATTGATGTGCACTCATGAGAGCTTGAGGTTCTTTCAGAAATCAGAACAATTCATTCAATTCAACCTTAAGGAAACAAACTGTGTTTTACCAGCTTCCTACAAAACTTCGGCCGAACTGAAGTGTTGACATCACTCAGCTGGTGTTTCCTATCTCTACAGGAAAACTTTTGTCTGTTGTCCTGAGATTTCTTTTGGTACTAAGTCTTAGTTGTTTCACACAGTGTCTCAAGAATTACCTGCAGTGTTTTGCTGTCTGCCAAAAGAAACTGTGCCAGTACAGTTTGGACATGGGAAAAATAATTTCTTTGCTTTTTCTCCAGTCTATTACTCAGTCATGATCCTTGTATTGAAAGCTGCAGAGGGTCTTCCAGTGACTCTGTGTTCAAATGTACATGGCTTATGAGGGGAAAATAGAGGGGTTAAGGCAACTGTTCCTCCTCTCTGAAATGGGTCATTTGGGGCAGGAGAGACTGTGCAACTTTGAGATTACAGTTCTTTTATAGATCCAGGAAGATCCAATAAAGATATTTCACATCTTGTCAGGCGTTAGGTCAGGATTGAAAATTTGAAAAATAAAATTCTCTCAAGACACCATCAATATAATAGTCTGGAAACAACAGATGGAAATGTCACTAATCCCATGACTCAGCAACATTTGATAAAAATTTTGAGTGATCTCACCGGGCAAAACTTGATGTAGAAACTATGGCTGTGTGTGCCTGGGAATTTGGGTTGATGTTGTCACTCACCTGGGTGGAATAAACCACGTGTAGGTGTTTATTGTGGCATAACAGAGGGGAAAGGTGTGAGTCATCCACTTTTGTAAACTTGGGTGTAAACATGGAGTTTGACTCACTAGAGCTGGAGAAGTTTGTCACACCTGAGATGATTGTTTAAAAAAAAAAAAAGTCTTGTTTCAGAGAGCTTCAGAATCATGGGATTGTTTAGGTTGGAAAAGACCTCTGAGGTCAAGTTCAACCATGAACCGAGTGCTGCCAAACCCACATTAAATCATGTCCCCAAGGGTCACATCTACGTGACTTTTAAATACCCCCAGGGACTTCATGGTGACTCCACCACTGCCCTGGGCAGCCTGTTCCAATGGTTGACGACTCTTTTGGTGAGGGAATTGTTCCTAATATCCAATCTAAATCCCCCTAGCACAAGTTGAGGCCATTTCCTTTTGTCCTGTTGCTTGTTACATGAGAAAAGAGCCTGACCCTACCTGGCTGTCCCCTCCTGTCAGGAGCTGTGCAGAGCCAGAAGGTTCCCCCTGAGCCTCCTTTTCTCCAGGCTGAGCCCCTTTCCCAGCTCCCTCAGCGGCTCCTCATCAGACCTGTGCTCCAGAGCCTTCCCCAGCTCCGTTCCCTTCCCTGGACACGCTCCAGCCCCTCAATGTCCTTCCTGAACTGAGGGGCCCAAAGTGGGACAGTGCATCTGGGGGTTCAGGGGTCACTGTAAAACACTGGAAGGGTGATGCAGACTCTGCCTTCAGTCAGGTCTCTGAGTTTCCCCAGACCTGCAGCAGCCTTTCCTGTGGGTCACGTTTTCAGGTGACCATCTTTTGTTTCTCACAGGATGCTGAGGCACCTCTTGTTTGAAATGGACCTTCCACCTCCACAGATGATACTTGTAATCTGACCTGATTGTTTTCCCTCCTAGTCCTAGCAGAGGGCTCTTGTCTTCAGTGGATTTGAGCAGCGAGAAGAAAAGGAGCACTTCTTGCAGAGAGATGCTGGTTTGAGGGGAGCTGGAGAGCCTGACCAGCTCAGAGCATGGACAGCCCTGTCTGGGAGCACAACCACAGGAAGCATCATGAAAACCAGAAGAGAAAAGGCCCTGAACCTGCTGTCAGGAGAAGGAAACCATCAGTGTTGCTGCAGCCCTTGGAGGAAACAGGCTGAAACACAAAGCTTGTTTCTCACCTTTATGAAAACTGCTGTGAGGAGAGTTTGTCCTTGTTTGCCATTTCAGTGCTTAAATTCTTTTTTCTTTTCTTTTCTTTTCTTTTCTTTTCTTTTCTTTTCTTTTCTTTCTTTTTTTTTTTTTTTTTTTTTTTGGCAGTGCAATAAGGAGCTGTACAGTATGTGGAGCTGTTCTAAAATTATTTAATTTTTCATGTGATGTACAAATGTTGAGCATTATCTAGCTGATTTTGGTTGTCTTTTGGGCAAAGCTGATTCTATTTGTTGCTACTGTATTCATCATTTTCATTTGTCCTCCCAGAGTGATGGACAACTCGGTTTCTGCATTGCAGAAACATTGTTCTCTCCCTCCCAATATTTGTTGTCTCCATCTCAATACTTGTACTTGTGTGTCAGAGGAATTGTACAAAGCCCTTTTGTGATCTGCCAGGACAGAATTTTCATTCTTTTTCCTGTCCTGCAAGACAATGACAGAGATGAACAAGAGAGAGGACTCTGCTAATAATCAGTTTCCCCCTTTAGATGTGGGAAAGCAAGCAGAGCTGAATCAAATGATGGAGATCTCCTGTGCAATGTCCTAGCAAAGGAGATTATTTCTGCACGTGAGATGGGGTGTCTGGACAGAAAATCTGTCCTTGTTCTGAGAAACCCTTTCCAATGAGGGCCTTGATAGAAGCATTATCAGGATAAATTGATGGTTTCAAATGAAAATAAAGTTGAAATTTTGTCATTGTTTCTAACAAGTGACACTTATCCTTCTCTACCAAAAATGTTGATAAATGCCCTGTAGCACTACCTCAACTCAAAAATCACTTAAACCCATGTGACTTCACATACATTTGAAATATAGAAGATTTAAGCAAAATAACACAGTTCATTGTCATCAACAAGCCTCTATTGAAGAGGGACAAAAATGCCCTGGCATGGAAAACCCACAGCCAGATGTTCTGGTGGGAGAAGCTGAGGAGGGTCTGGAGGGCAGAGCTGAGCCTGGGCCATGGGGCATTTCTTATCCTCAGGACTCTGCTGCCTCCTCTCCTCTCTTCTTTCCTCATAGACAGATCTTGTTACAGGAGTCCATCCCTGCTCCTTTCACACAGCCCATCTGCATGTTGGAGAACTTTATTCAAACAGAGGTAAAATTGGGTCTGTCTGCTGCTGTTACAAATTTTAAAGACCATTACTCCAAGGTCTGCCTCTTGGTGTCATTTTATTAATGAAATGATTGGATTTTTTTTTTTTTTTTTGGAACTTGAAAATTTAAGCAAGCTTAACATAGTCCAGCACCTGCCCTCCTCTCACATGTGTGCATGTTAAACCAGTCTGTTAAACAGTGGAATTTATAGATGGTCTTGGGTAAGACTTCCTTTATTATACAGACCCCTTCCAGAATCCAGGAAATTCAGCAGGAGGCTGCCCCAGCAAAAGCACTATGAAAGGAATCTGTTTCATCTTCTGTTTATCAAAGGGTGTTTGAAGCATGATGCTTATTTTCAGCATGTGGCACATATCAGTATTTCCCCCTGTGTTTTATGGTCATTTAGGTATTTAAAAATAACAGGGGTGGGGGAGATTTACAGAGAACCAGTTCATGGTCCAGGATGAGGAGGAGCACTGAACTTCTATTTTTAATTTTTAAAACTGTGCAGGAGCATTTAATGAATAAATGTATTTGAGGGGTGGAAGCTGTAGCTGTCCTTCATGGGCTGTAAACTGGTGTTTTTCTGAATGCCATGGGCTGACAGCCACGCTTTAATTGCAGCTGAGGAGAGGGAACCACCAGAGCTGGAATTCTGCCAGTTTCACAAATTACCTGTGTAGCAACAGCTTAATAAGATCAGTGTTGTGTGGGACAGTTGGACTCCTTGATGTGCAGTAGCTTGGTTGGAGCTGTTCCACCCTGGCTGCCAAAGTGGTGAGCCCTGAAATCCCCCAGTGTCCTCCCTGCCAGGGTGTCACAATTCACTGCACATCCCATTTCCCTCCATGGCTTACAGCACTGGCTGTGTGGTCACACAAACAGGGTCTGCAGGGCCACATCCTTCCCAAGTTCAGTCTCATTTCAGGGGGAAAGCACAGTTTGGGACATGCAGCACTATTCATCTCCTGCCCCACTGGGAGGATGCTCCTAAAATCCCTGCTGGATGTGCTCCCAGGAAAGGGCCCCTTGGCAGGGGGGGGCCTCCTTCTCTGCCTCCTTCTCTGGCCCATTTCAGTGGTTTTGTTTATGCCAACAGCATGATGGGAATGTATTTTTGGCACAGAAATCTGTGAATGCCATGAGGTCAAAATGCTAAATTCACCAGTATTCCCATTCCCTGCCCCCAGGTCAGATGTCCCATTTGTGTCCTGCAGGCAGGGCAATGCTGATTATGTAGTTTACAGTTTCTAACATATTCTGTATTATGAAGCAGATTATTTTTGTTTTCAATCTCTCAAGGGGGGCACAATCAATATCAAATTGATACTGGCTCCAGCTGAACCTGTATCTTATCTGTATCTGTAACCAGCTTATCTATCTGTACCTGCTGAACTTGATAGAAGTTCCAGCTGAACTTGAGGAAGAACTTTGCTGTGCAGTGGGTGAGCA